TCAATGCTCTGGCATCCAAAAACCCTGCAAAATCTTGCTATGTACAATGTTTTTTTCATTTTTGGCCGTTTTTCCATTGCCGGAAAGCTACCAAAATGACCCAAAATTCCATTTCAATACCCTCTTGCGCTCAGACACCCAAAAATCCTCGAAAAATGTCGAAAACACCACCGTATTCTGGTCTCGGTGCGAAACCGTTTTTGGCCCCCCCCCCCAGCTAAAGCTGATATAGCGACTGCTATATTAACAAATGTCATTGAGCATTTGGTGTTGCTGTTGCCCCCCAATAAGCACGCCTTCACCGCCAAAGCGGTGTGGGCGGATTTACATAGAGATTTTATCCTGACCTCCATCTAATGTACCATTACATTCCTATGATTGGGTGATGTGACAATTTACAGGAAACCTCTAATTCAATGTAAAAAATTGTAAGAAACATGATTTCCTCTAGATGTTTCCTTAAATCCATCTATCGATACATGTATTTCCTTGTATTTCATGAATCGGAATGGACATGTCACCTACTTTCAGTCCCTGGTTTCATGACTGTCTCGAAGGCCGGCCGCATCGCTAGAGGTAGATCCACACTTGCGGCTACAGCTATGGAAAGACGTTGGAGCTTTGACAGGCTCCTGGTTGGGATCAGATATCCCCAGTTATACCCTGTGGTAAACATACAGTTTGCTATTGAAAATGGCCATTTATAGTGGATTTACCCATTAAACATAGTGATTTTCCATAGTTTTTTGTATGTTTACCAGAGGGTATACCCTGTGGTGATTTGATAATGATGACAATGATAATAATTAGGATTGGAATATCACCATGATTTAATAATGGTGATAATTAGGATGGTGATGAAAACATATTAACATGGATGATGGTGATTTAATGGAAAGTTCATGGGATTGGAATGGATTTGATGGGCCATACCCTCTGGTAAACTATGTAAACTATTGAAAATTGCCATTTAGTTCGTTGATTTACCTAGCTATAAAATGGTGATTTTCCATAGTTGGTATGTTATAAATGATATCCATAGTTGGTATGCTATAAATGATTCAATAGTTGGTGATTTTTTTTTTTTAAACCTAGCTATAAATGATATCCCCAGTTCTACCCTCTGGTAGTCAAACATGGCTAGATATGCCTGATTACCAGAGGTTATATTATATGGCTTGCATATTGTGCGTAGGCTGATTTACCACTCACTTGGAGGGTCATACCAGGAATCCTCCTGTAAATGGTTCACAAGCTCTGTTAATGTGCTACACAGCAACAACCCGATCTACTGCAACACCTTCCACTTAGAAGGGCTTACAACCCAATCAAGCAACCATCTGATGCGGTATGCCCGTAAAACCTTCAGTTGGGTTAGGTACTTTCGACCAACTGTAGATATATCCCACCATAAAGTCAGCCTAGCAGACGATTTTTTACCTATCTACTAGATGAATCGTAGCCGCAAAGAGCTGATGTTTGACTGCTGGCATTTGATGCCTGGGAGGTGATATCTCCTATTATCTCCTATTGACAAATGTTCTTGATCAAGCACATGACTGAGAGTCTCAGATCATCTCAGATCAAGATGGGCAGTTGAAGTTGTTGATAATGTGTATGGAAACCTTGAAACCACCAAATAAATTTAAATAGCGGACACCCCCACCAGATCCCACCAGTCTAACTTATAAGGGATCTGATAGTTGGTTTATAGCGGTGTGGCAACCGCCAGGCAGTAGCTGCCCCAGTGGTTCCTATGACTACGACCCGGGCAACGGGACAGCGACACTGGCCGAGCAGTGGTGACCTTTCCCCATAACCGACTGGGGATACCAGTTGTGATAGCCATTTTGAACAGGGAAAATTAATGAAAATTATATAGTGAAAATTAAACATCATTAAACGTGGAACGTTGGAGTTTTGCATCGTTTTCCCGTTTTTTGTTCAGACAAACTCCATCAAGGTACATGGTTATACTCTGCCATATCTATACTCCAACACGGGGGATCAATTTGGCTTCCAGGCGTCGATTGATTGGGTCACACCAGGGAAGTTTGATATTTGGATATGACTTGATTGGTACCAATGATATGATCTATATGTAATATTACATAATACCATGCATATATCCATATTGTTCTTGAACACGTGGCAAGCACTATGACAGTTGGCTTCCAAACAATAGATCTGGGTAGATTGGGTAGTACGTAGATTAGTTGCTGCAGTCTAGGTTAGTTTAAGGATACCACACGCCATTTTTCAGGATCTTTCGGGTAAATTCGTCGTCGGCAATGGCCGATGTCACGTCACTTGTTGGAAGGTTTTCATTGTCACAAAATTGGCCGCGAGTTTGAGGTTGGTGCATAGTGATAACTCATCCAGAATAATTATATATTATTATATTATAGAGAATATCGACAATAATATATATATATACATATACATATATATATAGACAGGATGATTCTGTCAGTACGTGTTATCCCGGTGTTTCGGATCAAGAGTCTCCGATGTTTGCACGGACAGCATGGTCAGGTTGACACCTTGACACCAAAGGTGACACCGCCCTGACATAGACCTTTCTCGGTTCCCTCCGGTAATTTAAAATATGGTATAGACGGCCCATTTCCTTAGGATTTACCAATTAAAGATTCAAGATGGTGATTTTCCATATCTATGTGAGTTTACCAGAGGGTACTTTTTTTCATCGTTTTTTTTTTCTCAGCAAGCATCAAGTAGTCCCACCATACAACCATACAACAATGTTGCAATTGAAAGAGCTTGGTTGGGGTAACTTTCAGCCATCTTGATGGTCAAGCCAACTCAAACATCATCTGTTCTCAATGAATGGTTTGTATTTCCATACCATCCAAAATTTTCCAGATCATCTGAAGATCGTCTCCATTAAAATGTCATAACATGTCGATTGAATTGAACCCTTATTTGGCTAGGTTTTATGTTTATATATAATGTATGTTCATATTAGATACAAAAAAACAGATGTTGTACTGAAATGAGCAAATCCTTGAGTTTACTAAACTTGCCACAAGTTGAGCCAGTTGAGCCCACGCTATTGAGCGTGTGACACCAAGCTCTCCCATGGTCTGTCATGATTCTCCTGGTGTACCCGAAACGGCCATCAAACCTGGCAGAACATCCGAGATAGCTGGTGTTCTAACGGGAAAGTCATCAAACTAAATGGTGGATATGTATATATCTATAATATATACATACATACCTACATGCATGCACACATACACACATACATGCATACATGCATACATGCATACATGCATACATGCATCCATCCATCCATCCATCCATCCATCCATACATACATACATACATATGTATACATGCATATGTATATATACATGCATATATATATATACATACACACATATATATATACATACACATATATATATATACATACATACATACATACATACATACATACATATTCCTTTCTTATGTTTGAGTACCAAAGGGTATACCACGCCCCATGCTGGCTCAACACAAGCGGCAGGACTGGACACTGGTCCTTCACAGGTGCTGGGAGCTGAAAGCTGGTGATCCTTTCGCATCAAATAGACTGGTGATTTAACATAGCTGTGGAAAATCACAATGTTTAGTAGGTAAATCATTCATACACCGATATAAATCGTCTATAAACTTATAATTTTATGTTTAAAGATAGAATATTAAAATAAACATTTTATCTTTATAACATTAAAATAAAACATGTGCCATGGTCCATATGTTAAAGAACGAGAGGGTACCCTCCGGAGATCATTCAGCTGGCAGTAGAAAATCTTCGTGGCCATGATTTATCCGGAGGGGATGTATCATGCAATCATGCACATCATCAAGTATCTGATATATATATATATACAGATAGATAATGATAAGTAATGATAGATATACATATCCACGGGCAAACATATATATATATATACATACAGAAACAATGTTCACATATTGACTTCACATTTGATGAGCCATAGGATCCATGGTGGGTATGCTGCTATATTAATGGTGTGCCATGGATCCTATGGGTTAGGAACCCCTCAAGGTCCCGGGATTTGGCACAAAAACGAAGCAACTTGTGGGATTACGTTAAGCTGTGAAGATGGACACAGAAAGCATATGTTATGACATGTTATAATACGTTTATAATCTAATAAATATATATTCTTATATACTGATATACATGAATGATTGTATAATATATATATATATGATTGTATATATTAATCATTGTTTCAGGCTCATGTTCTGTTGGTTGCTGGCTTTTGTGCTGACAGCCACACCGTAACAGCCGTACATCATGCCATGGGAACATCGACCCCAACTTGGCCCGAGCCTGGGTTTAGTCCGAGGTTGAATCAATGGAGGGACGTTAAAGTACCATATTTTTGGCCATATATCAACGGTATATCCCCTGAAATTTAGGCCTAAAAAAATAGGCCTTATATATCTGATTGGTGGTTTGGAACATGTTTTTTTCCATTCAGTTGGGAATAATTTAATCCCAACTGACGAACTCATATTTTTCAGAGGGGTTAGCAGCAACCACCAACTAGATATGGTAGGTACCTCCAATTTGGGTGGAATTTGCCGATAAAACATCCATTTCTCTTGGCAATTTACGGCCACTGGCCACTGGTTTGCTCCGCAATCATCCAGATTCTACGACCTGGTCCATGAAACGAAACGCGAATTGTTGGTGAAACATTCTTGGGGGGTTCACCGTGATGGGGGATTAGTTGAAAATCTAGAACACTATGATTTATTGGATATATTTACTACATATCTAGATATCTATAAATTATATTAAATTATAGATATATAGTAAATATAGATATCTAGATATATATGGATATTATTTATAAATATGTATATGTCTAGATATTATAGACATTCCCATATCCTCCTGATATTCATATTGCTTCCCCATGGTTCCCCCCTTCTTTTTGAGGGGCCCCTTCGCCATGCAGCAGGTGCCGGCTGTGCCACTGACTGCAGCGCTGGTCTGGCAGATCTGACAACTGGCGCCTGCGTGAATAATTGGCAGCTGACGAAGCAGGTGGAGCCATTGGAAGTTCCCATAGAGGGTGAGGGAAATCCGGTGAAACCGCAACGAAATCGCGAGCAGTTTTTCCGCACACAACTTGCGCCAAACCTTTGGGTTTATGGGGGGAAATAAATAGCAAACTACTAGCTGGGTTTATAAACTCACTTCGAACTGGGGGGCCTCACCTTGTAGTTATGTTTGTTGGTTTATAAACCAACGTTCTAGATGTTGTAGATAATCATAGCCCTAGAAAAATTAACCTGCCCACAAACCAACTTAGCTAACTAGTGGGCCGCTTCCTGTGACACAGAGTAGTTATTTTATTGGGATTTAAGCATCATTTATATGGGCATAGAATGCTTTATAATGGTTTGCAATGGTTGTTTTTATTTTTGGCTCCAACAAGATTCCCCATAAACCCTACTAGTTGCACACCAACTTACTTCAGTATGGGCATCACCTTTCATGATAACTTATTTTTGTTAAAACACATCTATGCTTCTACTGGGCGAAGTTTGGAGCTGGTCTTGCACGAAGATCATGGACCGAAGCAAGGCCGTGTTGCGATTGAAAACTTTCGTTGACATCGGCAAAGAGGTTTTGGGATGAAAAAATGAATCCACATCTTCCACCGCATGCCCGGAAAGCCTTGACAGCCGCTTCTTCCGAATATGATGCACGTTCATACAGTTGGCACATAATGTCTTGAGAATCACCAGGTGAGGGCTCCAGCCACAAGGGGTTCTACCAAGATGGGTCCGTAGATATGTCACCATCAGTTTTGGATGTGTTGATCTTTTTGGTGATGAAATAGCGGATATGGTTCGAACATGAGTTCAAATGGCTCGTTATTCTCCATGGTCAGCAGCTGATAGCCTCCAGGATTCTCTTTCAACTCTTAGAACCCCAACACTTGGTCTTCATTGGAAGGAACATGCCATGGACATGAACCATATTCGCATATTCCATCGGAAGGTCCGTTGGAATGCCATGTTTATCTCATTTATTAATTCCACGGTTTCAGAGACATGTATTAATGATTCATGTTGGTTTTATATCAGATCATCACCCGGCAGGTTTCAGGTTTCGGATGATCCCCATCAACATCCATCAGGTTTCAACATCACTGGAATCAGCCTGGGTCCTCCCGTTTGGTGTTGTAACATGTAGGATTCCCATCTGGTCATTTGTTACATAGCGAACTGGAAAATCCCAACCATCAATGGAGGTTTATAGCTGGGAAAATCATCTGTTTCTATGGGCCATGGGCCATGGCTTCCAGTTCGCTATGTTAAATAAAGCCAGAGGGTAACCATACTCAAAAGCCATTTCTATACTGACGAAAAACAGGAACCAGGTGCACCAGGTTTCGAAAAACCACGGTTCGATCCTGGGATGACATGATGATCCTCCAAGTCAGATTGGCACTCTTTGATGCTCACTTCTGTGTAGAAAGCCTTGTGAGTAAAGAACGCTCCATAGTTGACTTTAGGCACTTTCTTTGTTCACCAAACTACATTTCTTTGTGGATTAACTACCAAATCTACTTGATTAAACACCCAGCCCGTTGTTCGCTACGGTGAATATTTTGTTGTTCGGTAAGCCAAACATTCCCGCGAAAATGACCATTTCTCTTCAGCCATGTGGCAGCCATCGCTTAAGGGATCGCATATGATTTGAATGTGCTTACCCGGCCTGGTTATGTCAAAATAGCTATTGAACATGGCCATTATATAATAGTTGATTTTCCCAGCTAGAAAATGGTGGATCTTTCCATAGCTATGTAAACGTTTACCAGAGGGTAAATACTCCACTTCCAAATTTTGCTCAACTACACTATCAACCCACTTGTTGTTTTTAATGCACCCCTACATGCGTATTGATGACACAGCCACTCTGGCCCTGGTTTCAGGATGGCAACAGTCTGTTCTTCGCCACGTCCTTTAATGAGGAGGCGGCTGCACGACACCCCTGTTGGTTGATGATTATAATAGAAAGGGCTTTTCAACAATTATTAAATGGTATTAATGATTAATATTGGCTTAAAGGTTATCATTATATGCAATATACTATGAATGATTATGCTTCCCTTTCTGTATTGGGGGCTATCATCATCTCGATGAATTGGGAATCCCGTTGCGGGCTGAAAGCAGCTGCTCAAATGATGGTGACAGACCCTTGAAGTGACGACTTTGGGATGATAATTCCCGGAAAATCGAGAGAAACTCGCCCTAGTGAGCCCTGTTAGAAAAATGGTGGACAGGAGAATGACTGGCAGGAAAATCTGCATCCAAATCTGATTAGGTGTTTCTAGTATATGCTGTGATATGCTGTAGTATACTGTGATTATATATAATATAATATACATGCTACATGCAGTGAATATATATATATATATAACATGTCCTATGTTTTTGAGATAGAAATCAAATGCGATAGTGGCTCGTTCAAGCTAATCGATCCGTATCCATTCTATGGCCCCCAGCTGGAACCCATCGAGGAACAAGTGGTGAAGTTTCCCCCATCCTGGATATGTTTGGTTCACGGTAAAGTACCAGGAAAGTGTTTGGTACCCTCTGGTAAACAGCCACATAACTATGGAAAATCCACCATTTTCTAGCTGGGAAAATCCACTATTTCTATGGCCATTTTCAATGTCGCAAACTGTTAGTTTACCAGGCTGGGTAAGGGTTGCGGTTCCTGTTCTTTCTTTGGCTTTGCTGGCTGGTTGGTTGCTTGGGATCTTGGGATGCATCCGCTTTGCATTTTCAAACAGACATCCAGAATGAAGAGGAAGGAATAAGTCGAATGAAAAATCACCATCTCATTTTATGTGAATCTCACTTTTTATACCTTTCTTTCTACCACTCAGTATCGTCTCAATAGCCTCATTAGAGTTGGCTCACCATTTTCGTTGTTAGATCATCAGTTAGATCACAGCAGATGATTATTGCTGATCCCAAGAAGATGCCGGTTTCAGTGTTCCAGGAGAGTTCGATGATATTTACCCATAATATTTACCTATATATTTCCATCATATTTCCACTGGTTGGTGGTTTCAAAATTTTTAATTTTTCCATAGATTGAAGAATACTCCCAACTGACGAACTCATATTTTTCAGAGGGGTAGGTCAACCACCAGCCAGATCATATGTCCATCCAACTTTCCGGCATCTATTTTGAGGTCGCTAAAAAAAAATATGTCAACATTTCCATGTTGGCTACCCCCCATGAGTTTGTCAAGATGCTTCACGTGCTTCGCATGATGCAGGTGAATCTGAGGTATCACGGAGATCGCAGCTGGATGGTCAACTACTTCGATCAGCACCTCGGAATCCTCCCCGCGGTTTCAATGGGATGATGGGATGAACTAGAAATGGGATACCCAGCCTGGTAATTTGTTACATCGCTATTGAAAATGACCATAGAAATAGTGGATTTTCCCATTAAACATGGTGGATCTTTCCATAGTTTTTCGTATGTTTACCAGAGGGTAACCAGAGGGAGATTTTCCATTGGTTTACGTCTGATTTACATCACGAAAAAGGGGGATACATGGGGGATACTGTACCTGTTTTTTTTGGTGGTAAATTGGGTAAAGCCAATTGTCATAAACCTACCATTTGGGGGGGGTCGTTGTAAAAAACATCCAGACTAAGGGTCATGTTGGCTTGGTTTAGCCCTGTTTATAATATGGTTTACCCTCTGGGAAACTAACATAGCGGTGGAAAATCGCAAAATTTAATGGGTAAATCAACTATTTCTATGGCCATTTTCAACAGCAAACTGTTAGTTTATCAGAAGGTACCACCTTATGAATGGGGATATCATGCATCACATGATGAGGACATGGAGGATTTTACCAGCCCAGAGGTTGCCTCACTGAAGATGGTAAGGGAGTTTCGCATCCCCAAATTAAATGGGTTTCCAATGGTTTCCATGGTGCACCCTAAATCATCCCAAATTAGATCATCTTTTGGCGTCCTAGGTGGCTCCTTGAACGGGCGAGCGGGAATAGCACGGTGCCAGGCAGGGCACTCTGGTGGGTTGGGAAGAGGAAGCTTGGAAATAGCCTCGTTGATTGGTTGCGAAATGGGAGTTCTACTAGGTTGTTTGGGTCCGGGTTCATGAACTAATCCATAGAAGGGAAAACTATCAGCCAACTAGTATTTCATGAGATGGGATATATACTGATATATATATATATACACATATGGTATGGTTAATGAGCCATTTTTTAAGTGAATCTTAGAATAGATTCTTCAGGGTTGCTCCACCCCCAAGTCTCGGACGTTGATCGGAGCACGGGGGGAGCAACCCTGGTCTGCAGATTGTGGTTGATCTACCAACATCTGGTTTGTTTTTTTTTGCAGTATTTTTTCTTTGAATGGTTGGTAATGTGGTAAACTGATGTAAACTGGGGCTTTCCACATCTGCCACTTAAGCCTTTGTCTTGTTCCTGTTTGGCTTTTATAGATACGGTTCCTGTCAGGACCAACAACGGATGAATCAAAGCCTGGTTGATTACTTTGTTTTCCCACAAATAGTGATCATTTCCCAGGAGGTTAACAGGTTATTCATCCGGGGTTGAGATTGCCCGTTTTGGTGCCTTTAGAAATACGTCATATCCTGCCGAAGAATTTTTCAGGATGTAGCAATTCGCCATGATTTCCTGGAGATTTTACAACGACCTTTTGGCCCAATCCTTATGGAAAACCATCAAAACATCCAAGAAATCAGCGTTGGGACTATCCGGAACTTCGGAGCAGTGGTAATGGAAAACCATCATTTTCAATCTATGTTCAACAGGACTATCTATAGATTAGAAGACGCCCCGCAAAGTAAGGGCTGGAATTGCCAACAACGGCTGGGAGATGAGTCTTCGCAGAAATTAGATGTTTGTTTTAATGATCGAAAGCTGTGAAGTTTCGAGAGACACTATATTACAAGTACGATCAAATTAGTATTATGGTATATTATAATATTATTATAGTACTATATATCAAATACGTATTATAGCTCCGCTGTGCTGTTTCTGAGAATTTCCTGAGTTCTTTGAGCAAGCCAAACAGGAACATTGGCCACTTTACATTAACAGTATAATGGTTAAAATTATGAGACACATCTAATTTATCAACCATCAGATTTTGGGATACTCAATTTTCATATTATGTGGGTCCCACCAGTTTGAGTTGATTTCAAGTTGAAGTTGTTTACTTTCTCCGTTTGCGTGGCAGCTGTTGAAGCTGAACATTCCCCTGTCAGCCGACTCCACTTGTCGATCACATGCTGTGTGAGGCGAACGGAAAATGTTCAACGCGGAGAACAGCTCGCACACGCCAGGGGCGAACGGAACGCCTGCGGAGTATCAACGCTTGTTCCACGTGGATTAATGTGGACACGGTCCGAGATGCACTTGCGAGGTTACGATGACTGGACAAGGCTGAAATTTCTGGATGCACCTTGCTCCTTGGAGCAAGGTCTGCACGAGGGGTCTGCGCGAGTGTGCCTTTCACTTTAAAAAAGGCTGTGACTTGGTACAAAGTCATGGTCACACCAAGTACAACACTGCTAAATGTCCTAATGTGGTAAACCTAATTACTAACAGACCATACCCAAGTTTACCCGAAGCAGGTAGTATCCCTTTTACTTGCTTCGATCTCTCTTGGTCTGAGCATGTCTGAGCATTGTTGGCTATGTACCCGTCTACACCAGCTAAATCTCAGGCTCTCATACTAATCTGGTTGGTGGTTTGGAACATTTTTTATTTTTCATTTTTCCATATATTGGCATACATGGATATTTTCTATTTTTACATATATTGGCATACATGGATCCTATATGATCCTATGGGTACCTGGTTTTTCGGATTTTGATATTTTGCAACCATCCACAGTCCCAAGACGCCACAGGAAGCCCCTGTCCCTTCAGCGTTTCGAGCACCGACTCCGAAGCTCGACAGCCGGGGGCACCCGGTGCATCCCGCGGTGCATCCCGCGTAATCTGTAGCTGTGACCTAAGGATTGATGAGTCAAGCAACAATTTTTGTGGTGATTTATAGTCGATACAGTCGATACTAGTTGATTTATGATACCTGGTAAATTAACATAGACATACATAGACCCTGAAAATAGCCTAGTTTTAATGGAAACTAATCTTCCAACCCCTATCTGCCAGGGTCTATGTTAATTTACCAGAGGGTAATTTATGATAGCTAAGTTGATTGATTTAGTAGCTTAACATGCTTTTGCCTCGGTTGCCTCGGCTGTGACTCAAAAAAGCGGGCCTTGGGCAGGTAGCAGGATGCCGAGTTGGTTTCAGAACTGGGATGATCCCCAGCCCCAGCCGAGGTGCAAAAAGAAGGCCAGTTACCTGATGCCTGAGAGCTGGTTGCAGGCGCGGAAGCGAAGTGGCCACGATTTGAGGATTTTCTGGGAGACCCTCTGTGAATCAAGGGATGAATAATTTGAAAATCCTTCAACGGAGATTTTCACGGGGAAATCATCGATAAATTGGTGATTTTTCATTGCCACATTTGATGACCGGAGGGTCTCTATCCGAGGGGGACCATCTTGGGTTTCTCCACCCCAATTTTTGATGGAAACTGATGGAAAAACACCAAGACAGTTTGAGGTACCCTCTGGTTATGACTAACAGTTTGCCATGGAAAGATCCACCCATTTTTAAGTTCGGTAAACCATCTATTTCTAGGCCATCAACAAACCATGGCTATGTCAGCCATAACCAGAGGGTACCTTATTTCACGCAAGATCATGTCGTACGTTTTCCTGGGACCTGCATGATCTCAAGCAATACTGGGGATGGAAGAAATCCCAGCAGTTGGTACCCTCTGGTTAACATAGCTATTGAACATGGCCATTTATAGTGGATTTATCATGATTTATCCAGTAAACATGGTGATTTTCCATAGTTACGTTAGTTTACTGGAGGGTAACTATTGATAACTTGACTCAACGCTGGGACTACACTAGGATTATGACATATCATAGGATTTCGCCCATCAACTGATGCAGGATTTCGCAACCATCCACAGTATGTGGAGGTTTCCTAAAATAGGGGGTACCAAAAATCGATTCTAGTTTCAGAGGATATTCCATTATATATCATTATAATGAAATATGTTCCATTATTTTCCATGATCATTATAACCTCTTCAGCACCCAAACCTCATATGTTAATGATAATGTTAATGAGAATATTTTTCCATGATCATCATTTCCATTTAAACCATCCCATGTTTTTTTGGTACCCGCACTTTAACAACACCTCAGCTCCCAGCGAACGTGCCAGTCCATGATGGCCAAATTCACCATGGAGTGCGCAGCGGTGCAAGGGAGAGAGCGCTGGGTTGCCCTCTTGATGTTGGTATTTTGAAGACCATTCATGATATAGAATCTATAATGAATCTACTGCAGAAGATTAATATAAGATTATAGATCTATCTTTTATATATCTATATATATATATCTGTTATATATATATATTTGTTATAAATCCCAGTTGTTGAACTGACAAACCAACTGATAAAGCAACGTAAACTCATCTTTGGGGTCCCACCGCAGTGATGTCGGACGCCATTCTTGGGACTGGGGCGGTGGCTGGCAGAGCTGTGGTATGGATCGATGCTGGGAAAAAATGACCCTTTGGTAAACTTGGTAAACGAACATAACTATGGAAAAATCACAATTTTTAATGGGAAAACTCACTATAGATGGCCATGTTCAATTAGCTATGTAAACGTTTACCAGAGGTCTAGGAATTGGAAAAATATGGGGTAAAATTGGGGTAAAATTGGAATTGGAATAATGATGGATCGTTGAATCTATTGCCGCAAATCTTAGGGCTCTCAAAATTGGATCGTCCGTGCGATGGAGAAATCTGGAGAATGACCAAGATCTATGTCTGAAGAGGTCCTAAACTTTTGACCCCATTAAACACATTAATAATCCATTAAACATATTTAATGGTAAACACATTAATCCATTAATACACATTTAATATCATTTAATAACATTAATGGATATGTTGTTGGTAAACTCCTCAAAGACTGGTTCTCTCAATTGCTGATTCTGATGTTTGAACTGGCTGAAATTTCAAGGGTCCCTAGATGTGATCAAGGGATGAAGTAGCCTGACCAGCTCAGAACATGCTCATGCAGAGTCCAGGAATTGCTTAGGACTCGGTGTTTTTTATCGAAGCTAAGCCAATATGACGAGGGTTCTCCAGATTGGGTCTGTCCCAAAATGTGAGTGGACAAAAAGGATGGCAATCCCATTGTGATGCACCGAATTTTCAGACCGTCTTCCCCTGTGATATTTGTAATGTCCAAGTGACCATGCCTGCAGTTTTTGGGAGGCTTGATGGCTGTTGCTCAAAGTTTTCCACCTCCAGAAATCTACCGGTCAGAAACCTCCTTCAAAAGAGAGCAATATCCATAAACCTACTGCAAGTCCATAGGTACCCTTTGTTACCCTTTGTTACCCTCGGATTGAATATGTTTGAGCCATAACCATAGCCATGGACCTACTACATATCTACAGAATCTATACATACCTGGGCTTGACACCCGCAAAATTCACATGGAATTGTCATACGAGTGGCCATATCCACTTGGAAAATCAAGAGACCCCATGTTTTACTTTTAGGGGTTTCATCATCTCAATTCAGTTTTTCCCCACCTGCCAGGTGAAGGTTGTTAGATTTTATGTCAGTTGCCTGCTCCTCCTCTCCTCTCCTCATCTCCTCTCCTCCTCGTCGTCCTCCTCGTCCAACTGCGACCCGCGATCCACAGTGTTCTCTGTCGGACCTCAACCACGACCATCCACGCCCAGTGTGCCCTGCCGGACCTCAACCACGACCATCCACGCCCAGTGTTCCCTGCCGGACCTCAACCGCGAGTATCCGGGCCCAGTGTTCCCTGCCGGACCTGAACCACGACCATCCACGCCCAGTGTTCCCTGCCGGACCTCAAACGCGAGGATCCATGCCAAGTGTTCCCTGCCGGACCTCATGTAGGAAGATAAAATGTCAGATAGAGTGCCAGAAGATTTGCCAGGTAGAATGCCAGAAAATATGCCAGAAGATATGCCAGATAGATATGCCAGAAGATATTCCAGAAGATATGCCAGATAGAATGGCAGATAGAATGCCAGATAGAATGCCAGAAGATATGTCAGAATATATGCCAGAAGATATGCCAGATAGAATGCCAGATAGAATGCCAGAAGATATGTCAGATAGAATGCCAGAAGATATGCCAGATAGAATGCATCAGATTTGCCAGATAGGGTGCCAGAAGATATGCCAGAAGATTTGCCAGATAGAATGCCACAAGAAAATGCCAGAAGATATGCCAGATAGAATGCCAGAAGATATGTCAGATAGAATGCCAGAAGATTTGCCAGTAAGAAAATCTATAAATGTCATGGTGGGGATCACACGAAGTAAAGTAATTTATAGTTTCAATACTTGTCAAAACAGTGTTTAACATGTTTTGCTTGAATTATGTTTTTTTATAATGCATTTCTTGATTTGTCATATCTCAACTCGAGGCACGCTTGCTCCAACCCATTATGTAGGTACATGATATCCAGAGGGGGCGGAATTCGATCATTTTAGCTCATTATTTGCCCAAGCTACACCCCTTGGCCGTATCTGGGGGATGGAGGAGCAACCTTGTTGGATGATGTTGGATGTGTACCCCATAGGTATCCCAGAATAGTTGGGTTTATGTGATAATTACCCTACAATTATCTCATAGTTATCTCAGGGTCATTCCATTTCCGAGAACGCTTGGGAGCTTACCCCCACTCAAAATAGGCACCCTATTTTGATGATGGAGCCCACCAAAAACATCCAAAAACCACGATGTTTCGTGGGTCTCCGGGTAGCCGGTTGGACATCGGCCAGGTACCAGGTCCAGTTTCCGGACTCCTTCGCGCACGCGATGTCGGGGAAGGCCATGATGGAGACCGACGGCATGACCACGGCGCGCTTCCTGGGCTGGGGGATGCTTGGGATACTTGGGGCGACCCAGGGGGGGTAGGGGTGGTAGAAAGTCCAACAAAACCACGTCCAAAGTATGGGTGGTTTATGGATGGTTTATGGATGCTGGGATTTTTGTGTATCTTTCTGCTTGGTCTTAAGAATAATTGCTGGATCATGAACCATGGCTTGCTGGAAAATCCGCCAGCAAAACTTCGATGTTTTCCCCAGCTACACACCGCAAAATGGCTGGTTCGGGCATTTCCCCGCCAGCCATGTTTGATGAAGCCGGAGGGTAACAGGAAATGCAACTACGCATATATGGGACACCATATGTATAGTGTATACAATCCCTTTCCCCTTCCATATTAGACACCCCCTAGAAACCATGGTCTAGTAGGAGATTTACATGGATTTACACATATTGACCATACAATGAGGATGTTTGTATAATAATATTAGAGATATTAGAGGATAATTTATCACTATCTTAGGAACGGATGTAACCAACTCCTATCTATTTTGGAGTCATGATCCAAGGATATCCAAGGTATGGATGGAAAAGATGCCACCAATCATCAACCATTTCATGTTAGTTGTTTCACCCTTTTTGGTTTGTCTTTGGCTATTAACAGTTTGAGGATTACTATGACTATAACTCATTAACTAGCTTGGTATATCTCCCATGAAGCCCATTTTTAAAGCATGTGTTATCCCATTGAGTTAGTTTTAACATGTTTTAACCCACTAGCTATAGTTATCTGAGTTATCTCATGTTATATCCCCCATAAACCCACCATTTCTCCCATTTCTCTCGGATCACAACGGCGTCCATTTCGAGGATCAAAATTTAAGCCCAGCTGACCGAGCCGCGCCCGAGCCGCAGGTCCTGAAGAACACGGCAGGGGAGACCATCCGGGAGATCGCCGCCGGTGAGGCCGTTGGTTGAGAAAAAAACCGCGGTTGCTTGGGAGTGGATCTTAGAATCTACCCTTTGGTAATTTAACATAACTATAGAAAATCACGATTTTTAGTGGGAAAATCCACTATTTCAATGGTCATTTTCAATAGCTATGTAACAAATTACCAGAGGGTATAGGGGGAGGATAGAATCATGGTTTTTATAAGAGGAATCATCCCAATAGCTGGCCTTATTTCATTCAGGTTTTCGTGAATTGTGATAACAATTTACCCAGAAAAATTGGGAGAATTTGGAATTGATTGCTGGAAAAATCACCTTAATAAATGATATTGAATGATTATAAATGGAGGTGTATAGCCGGGAAAACCCTCGGAAATTATACATGGGGATTGTGTTTCATTACCACGTTTGGATACAAGAGGGTAGTATATAGTAAATGTAAAGAAAATATAGTGATATATTATCTATCACTATATATATATTTATTATAAATAATCTATATTATACAATGGGTGTCTCTGGAAATGGTGTTCCCAAAAATGATACTTTAAATAGGGAAAACCATGATGAATTATCGAATTGTGCTGTACCCCTTATGCTAAATTTGTAAGAAGATTTACCCTCTGGTATTCAAACGTGGCAATGCGAGATCCTCTATAAGAGAGGTTTTAATTGGGAAAATAATCCATAAATGAGGGATCGTAGTTTCCTTTTTAATGGGAAAATCATTCATTGGATTGGTTTAAGTTTAAGGGAAAATCTACAGGAAACCATGGTTTTTACCATCAAATAGAATGGGCTAGCGCCCAGGTGCCGCCGACCCCCCTAATTGGAGGGGGGGTACTGTAGAGAGAGAGAGGGAGACGGACAGCAAGACAGACATATGGCCGTTTGCTTCTCAAGCCTGTGGCCTTGTCGTCGCTTTTGCGTGCGGGCGTGGCGCCTGTTGGGGTTGTTGGGGTACCTTTTGCATCGGAGTTGGGCGGACTTTTGGAGGAGTTGGAAGGTTTGGAGGGTTTAACGCCTATAAGAAGCCATTGCTGCGGCCGTGGGGTGCTCTTGAGCCATTGCTGTGGCCTTGTGGTGGCTTTTGCGTGCGGGAGTGGCGCGTGTTGGGCTTGTTGGGGTATACCTTTTCCCTGCGGAGCTGGCCGGACTTTTGGAGGGTTTGGAGGGTTTTGAAGGTTTGAGGCCTGGCAAACGGCAGCCTTGAACGCGTATAAGAAGCCATTGCTGCGGCCGTGGGGTGCCCTTGAGCCATTGCTGTGGCCTTGTGGTGGCTTTTGCGTGCGGGAGTGGCGCGCGTTGGGCTTGTTGGGGTACCTTTTCCCTGCGGAGCTGGCCGGACTTTTGGAGGGTTTGGAGGGTTTTGGAGCGTTTGAGGCCTGGCAAACGGCAGCCTTGAACGCGTATAAGAAGCCATTGCTGCGGCCGGGGGGTGCCCTTGAGCCATTGCTGTGGCCTTGTGGTGGCTTTTGCGTGCGGCAGTGGCGCGTGTTGGGCTTGTTGGGGTACCTTTTCCCTGCGGAGCTGGCCGGACGTTTGGAGGGGTTGGAGGGTTTTGGAGGGTTTTGGAGCGTTTGAGGCCTGGCAAACGGCAGCCTTGAACGCGTATAAGAAGCCATTGCTGCGGCCGGGGGGTGCCCTTGAGCCATTGCTGTGGCCTTGTGGTGGCTTTTGCGTGCGGCAGTGGCGCGTGTTGGGCTTGTTGGGGTACCTTTTCCCTGCGGAGCTGGCCGGACTTTTGGAGGTTTGGAGGGTTTTGGAGGGTTTTGGAGCGTTTGGGCCTGGCACGGCAGCCTTGAACGCTATAATAAGCCATTGCTGCGGCCGTGGGTGCTCTTGATCATTGCTGTGGCCTTGTGGTGGCTTTTTGCGTGCGGAGTGGCCCCGCGTGTTGGGCTTGGTTGGGGTACCCTTTTCCTTGCTGAGCTGGCCGGACTTTTGGAGGGTTTGGAGGGTTTTTTGGAGCGTTTGAGGCCTGGCAAACGGCAGCCTTGAACGTCGTAAAGAGCCATGCTGCGCCGTGTGGTGCCCTTGAAGCCCATTGCCCTTTGGGGCCTTGTGGTGCTTTTGCGTTCGGCAGCGGGCGTGTTGGCTGTTGGTGTACCTTTTCCCCCTGCGGAGCTGGCCGACTTTTTTTGGAGGGTTTGGAGGTTTTGGAGGGTTTTGGAGCGTTTGAGGCCTGGCAAACGGCAGCCTTGAACGCGTATAAGAAGCCATTGCTGCGGCCGTGGGGTGCCCTTGAGCCATTGCTGTGGCCTTGTGGTGGCTTTTGCGTGCGGCAGTGGCGCGTGGTGGGCTTGTTGGGGTACCTTTTCCCTGCGGAGCTGGCCGGACTTTTGGAGGGTTTGGAGGGTTTTGGAGGGTTTTGGAGCGTTTGAGGCCTGGCAACCGGCAGCCTTGAACGCGTATAAGAAGCCATTGCTGCGGCCGTGGGGTGCCCTTGAGCCATTGCTGTGGCCTTGTGGTGGCTTTTGCGTGCGGGAGTGGTGCGTGTTGGGCTTGTTGGGGTACCTTTTCCCTGCGGAGCTGGCCGGACTTTTGGAGGGTTTTGAGGGTTTTGGAGCGTTTGAGGCCTGGCAAACGGCAGCCTTGAACGCGTATAAGAAGCCATTGCTGCGGCCGTGGGGTGCCCTTGAGCCATTGCTGTGGCCTTGTGGTGGCTTTTGCGTGCGGGAGTGGCGCGTGTTGGGCTTGTTGGGGTACCTTTTCCTTGCGGGGTACCCCTTTTCCTTGCGGAGCTGGCCGGACTTTTGGAGGGTTTGGAGGGTTTTGGAGCGTTTGAGGCCTGGCAAACGGCAGCCTTGAACGCGTATAAGAAGCCATTGCTGCGGCCGTGGGGTGCCCTTGAGCCATTGCTGTGGCCTTGTGGTGGCTTTTGCGTGCGGCAGTGGCGCGTGTTGGACTTGTTGGGGTACCTTTTCCCTGCGGAGCTGGCCGGACTTTTGGAGGGTTTGGAGGGTTTTTTGGAGCGTTTTGAAGAACCACTGGCAAACGGGTGAAGGAAATGAGGGGTAGCACTCCTTGCACCTCTTCTAGCCTCCTCCATTGCTGCGGCCGTGGGGTGCCCTTGAGCCATTGCTGTGGCCTTGTGGTGGCTTTTGCGTGCGGCAGTGGCGCGTGTTGGACTTGTTGGGGTACCTTTTCCCTGCGGAGCTGGCCGGACTTTTGGAGGGTTTGGAGGGTTTGGAGGGTTTTGGAGGGTTTTGGAGCGTTTGAGGCCTGGCAAACGGCAGCCTTGAACGCGTATAAGAAGCCATTGCTGCGGCCGGGGGGGGCTCTTGAGCCATTGCTGTGGCCTTGTGGTGGCTTTTGCGTGCGGGAGTGGCGCGTGTTGGGCTTGTTGGGGTACCTTTTCCTTGCGGAGCTGGCCGGACTTTTGGAGGGTTTGGAGGGTTTTGGAGCGTTCAGCCTTGAACGCGTATAAGAAGCCATTGCTGCGGCCGTGGGGTGCCCTTGAGCCATTGCTGTGGCCTTGTGGTGGCTTTTGCGTGCGGGAGTGGCGCGTGTTGGGCTTGTAGGGGTACCTTTTCCTTGCGGAGCTGGCCGGACTTTTGGAGGGTTTGGAGGGTTTTGGAGCGTTTGAGGCCTGGCAAACGGCAGCCTTGAACGCGTATAAGAAGCCATTGCTGCGGCCGTGGGGTGCCCTTGAGCCATTGCTGTGGCCTTGTGGTGGCTTTTGCGTGCGGCAGTGGCGCGTGTTGGGCTTGGTGGGGAACAAGAGAGGGCTCAGTGCAGGCAAAGGGCAGGCTGCAATGCTGGAACGCTGACGGCCAGAGGGCTTGGTGGCAGCTGCCGCGAGGGATGTGTTTTTCCTTGGCCGGACTTTTGGAGGGTTTGGAGGGTTTTGGAGCGTTTGAGGCCTGGCAAACGGCAGCCTTGAACGCGTATAAGAAGCCATTGCTGCGGCCGTGGGGTGTCCTTGTGCCATTGCTGTGGCCTTGTGGTGGCTTTTGCGTGCGGGAGTGGCGCGTGTTGGGCTTGTTGGGGTACCTTTTCCTTGCGGAGCTGGCCGGACTTTTGGAGGGTTTGGAGGGTTTTGGAGCGCTGTGGCCTTGTGGTGGCTTTTGCGTGCTGCAGTGGCGCGTGTTGGGCTTGTTGGGGAACAAGAGAGGGCTCAGTGCAGGCAAAGGGCAGGCTGCAATGCTGGAACGCTGACGGCCAGAGGGCTTGGTGGCAGCTGCCGCAAGGGATGTGCAGGCAAAGGGCAGGCTGCAACCCTGGAACAGCAAAGGCTGCCGGCCAGAGGGCGTGGTGGCAGCTGCCTCGAATGCCCTAACGAGAGAGGGCTATGTGCGCGGAAAAGTTCCACACCTGCGGTGGTCCCAGGCGCCGCCCCGGCCTTGGCGAAGGCCGGGGTCGGCGGATATAGGGCTTTCCTGTAAATTTTCCCATCATCCAATTCTATGAATCATCCCCATCCAATCCAAATCATCCAAATCATCCATAAATGGTGGATTTTCCTACGGCATAGACTGAGTCTCCAGTGATTCCTTGCCAGGTCATTTCGGTCTCGGTGCAGGAGATGTGACGGGCAGATGGTTGAGTTCTAGCCTTGCGGTATGAAACATGGGGGGTTTTCTGGAATGGGGGTAACACCAAATCATCCATTTTAGATGAGGATTTTTCATGAAATAAACCATCCAGCAATAAAGGGGTACCTAATGGTACCTATATATTTTAGGCGCCCCCTATTTTTTTATATCTTTTTGGGCCTTTTTCAAGAATTGGGAATTGACGAAGAAATCGAAAAACATAGATTTAACCAAGCATCGTTTGCGGGAAATCGAACCCAAGTTTGACCCGTCCCCATGTCAACCATGGTTGGGCTCTTGTGCCGGTAGGGTGAACTCACCCCGGAACATTGGAAAATCTCTGCAGGATTTTCCAGGTGCCGTTCCGGTTCGAAAATGTGGAGAGATGAGTCAATGAGTCAATGACCGTGTCCTTGGAGAAAATAGGTCTCCCCAAGAACTAAAAGCTTTAGCAACTTCATTTTTAATAACTTTGGAATGTAAATACTACAGTAATCACAGTACTCATTACCTAATGAGATGAGGGCATATCATTTACCCTCTGGTAAACTAACATAGCTATGGAAAACCACCATTTTCAATGGGTAAATCCACTATTTCTATGGCAATTTTCCATAGCTATGTTAGTTTACCAGAGGGTAATACCAAACAGAGATTTTCCCAGGAAACAAGTCAAGGTCGTTCAACAAGATGCTGTTTGTTGGGATGAATCCCGAAATCCGACCACTGTTGACTTGAAACCACCAGCAGTTTGTCATAGTGGCAATAGAGATCTGATCATGATCACTTTCCAACCACATGACATATGATACCCCCAAAGAAAGGCCAAACTCTTGAAGGGTTACTCCTTTGGGATCCTTTGGGGGTGGTACCTAGGATTGTTCAGTTCCCAATGCATCTCCAGTTCGGTTGATATCATGGATTTAATACGTGTAATTACATTGGAAAGGCCATGGGGAGGGTCAACCTCAAAATAGAATGAAGCGGTTCGACCCAATTTTCAGGTAACATGTTTGGACCAATTTTAGATGGTTATCTTAGTTATCTTGTAATTCCGTTTTAACTTGAGGTCGGCCCGCCCCATTTTATTTTGATTTGAAGAACGATGATCAAACCAAGTTTTTTCTGTGTTTTTCTTAAACCAGCCCAGTGATAGTTGTTTAGATTGCCATTCTTGCTGCTGAAGTCTGAAGTCTTACGTCCGTCCGCATGTTTGTTGGTCAATACCCATTCTTGCTTGCTCCGTAAGCCACTAGAAACCATTCTTTTCATATCCATATGCTCCATGTATGGTATATTTACCTACATTTGCCCTAAAAATCACCCAAATGTAGGTAAATATACCATACATGGAGCATTCTTTTCATAGTAAAATAATAAGACCATGCATGTTAAAAAGTGCTGGACATGTTCCCTTGAAACCAATCCCGTGAGAATTTCGTGACTTCCCACAAAAATTGCCATCTAGATCATGGGCAAATTCTGGCCGCTTTACAAGGAGCTCAGGTTGGCCAAATTATGGTTACTGTAGTTTGTGAAAACATTGGCCAACAGATATCCAACATGTCCAATTTTTTTCTTAATGAACCTTGTATATCCTTGTATAATATATATATATGTATACATATGTATACATATGTATACATATGATATATGATATATGATATATGATATATGATATATCATGATATATCATTATATCATATTAAATCAATCTAAACCATATTACATATCTACCATGGTCCAACACTTAACCATCATGAGTTTTTACGCATTTCATCATAGCCAACTTAGCTATCATGAATCAACTATTCTCAAGTATCATCAACTCTAAATCCATGTTTTTTCCTGGTTAAATTCCGCTTTGCGAAGGTGAAATCCACCCGATGTTTGGCCAGGAGGCATTGTCCATCGCCGGACTCAGCACTTCGGACTCCATCGAGGAGCAGGTGACGGTGAGGGGATTGATTTTATCTACTCAGTTGGGATGTACCCTCTGGTAATTTAACATAGCTATTGAAAATGGCCATTTATAGTGAATTTTCCCATGAAACATGGTGATTTTCCATAGTTATGTTAGTTTACCAGAGGGTATTTTCTTGAAAAGGTCTAGAATTCTCAAAGGAGTCTAATCCACGAGCCACTGGATAGACCTTGGACCCTGGAACCTCTTGGGACTGTTGCTGGACAGGCAGATTTGCCCAACAATATGCAGAGGCCAATGGGAAGTGGTGTCCAGGGGGCAGGATCATCAGTTTCAGAGTTCATAAATAGAACTCGCATGGGTTGTAGAGTCATGGCCCTGTGATTGTTGATCATGTGCCCGTTCTGACTTGTATAATTACTGTAAGTTGTCGCAGTTAAGATATGTCAAAATCGGATTTCCATCGCTTTCAATTGAAATTTTCAATTCCAGTTCTCTTTTTTTCCCCATCTTGTCAGGTTTTCATCGCCATTTCTGTGGATGAGTATTCCCACCGTGGATAAAAAGCAGGGGTTGAATCCGTTTCCGCCTTGATAAACTGATGGGTTTTTAGCATGGTCAAGTCACCGAAGAACGTCCCAACAGCTGGACATTTGTCCATGGACAGAAAACCGATCCCAACAGCTAAAAAGATCCACCGTTTTGGATCATTCCGTAGTATCTCACTATAGCCAACCATGATATTCCTGGTCCATCCTGGTCCATTGGCCGCCAACCATCCTGCCAATTCTCAGCGTGTCCCGGCGTCCCGGGATACAGGGCGAAGATTGCAGCGGTGGGAGCCACTGTGCTCTTCCATATGGAGGCAGATCAGCAAGACGATCGGGGTCTGAGACTGGTTACATCATGGACGGTGCAGTTGGGGTGACTCTAATCGGTATACAGTAGTGTGGTAAACCCAATAAACTAAACCATCCTCAATATCACTGTAAATAGATGGTGAAAATCATCCCCAAATGGTATAGGTGTATTATTGGGCTTACCACATTAATCATGATTACGACCCTCATAAAGTTAGGCAATCCCGTGATCAAACCTCTATATAGGTCTCTGGAACCGCAGCCCGAAGTGTATTGGAACACGGTTTGCCACATATGGCTGGTCCCTTCAACCATAAAATGGCTGGTGTTCAGGGTCCCATTTGACACCATGTAATGGTGAAGATGCGCTGGAAGTGCTGGTTCTCAAGTTTATAGCGGAAATAGATACGGTAATGATACAGTTTTCTGGGAAGAACTTGCCCATTTGCATGGGAATAGAATGGAATGGATACAAGAAGATATAAGGGTTTAATGATGTTTAATGTTATATTTGATATAGGGTAGAGGCATACTATTGACAGAAGTGGGAGAAGAATGGATATTGAATCCATGCAAGCTAAATTTCAATTCAAAAATGTACAGTTGGACACAAACACCAACTCAACTTGAAAATATGGACATACAAACTGCAATCGCGCGGTTTTACCTTGACAGGTGCATTCATATCACATTGACAGTTAATCAAACCAAATCAGTGTTGTTGCCTCACGCAGGACTATAGCCAATTGTTTAATGGATTTAATGGGAATGTGTCATCCAGCGCTCTTTGGACAACATCTCCCGACATCACCGGTGATGGTTATGTTTGGATTATGGTCCCAGCATGGCTGGTAATGTGTGATTCAATGCCATGAACCTATCATGACTTGGCGATGGTATGGCAGTGGGTTGCCCTGTGTCGCAGGTGAGTAACACAGGCAGGGCCCTGAGAGTTCCGGGAAATGGCAGAGTTCTTGGAGGTGATGAGCAAATGATCTTTCTAGACCCATCGTTAATCATCAAAATAGTAGATTTAACATTCTTTAACCATCTTTAACCACCTTTTTGGATGGTTGCTATAGTAAACTTTCTATTTTCGGGATTTTTAGACCATGTATGAATTTTGGGATTCTTGTTTGGAGAGTGTGTCATTATGTCATTGTTCAACCATCACATTCGGAGATTGGATGGCTGTTGGTAGATGAACTTCTTCTATTTCCGGGATTTTGCTGGGTTTTCTATGTGATCTTGAGATACCCTCTGGCAAACAGCCACATAACTCTGGCAAATCCACCATTTTCTAGCTGGGTAAATCAACTAGAAATCACCATTTTCAGTAGCTTTTTGTATGTTTACCAGAGGGTACCTTTCTGTGATGAATTTATCTGGTTGTCGGCGGCATGGATGACCCCTGGTGAGCCCATGTCCTGAACTGCCAGACCTTTCAGCCGCTGTGGCTTTCCAGTCCCCCATCCAAATCGCTGAGATTGAGTTGAGAAGTAGAATCGACTGAAGACCAGGGCCTATAACTATGTCAACATTTTTCCATGATTTTTCCATAGTTTTTCCATAGTTTTTCCATCGCAAAAGTCACGGCTTCTGATGGAATTCTCCTCTGCAGGTGACTTAGGAGCGCCGGTGAATGAGATCACCATCCAAGGTCGGGCGAAGCGAGTGTGGACCGTTTTTGGTGCTGCCTTCTGGAATATGAGATAATATATCATATATATATATGATTATATATAATATGTATTATGTTAATATTAAATATTATATACATTAATATATATATATAATATTGATATATACTATTTAATATATACACATATATATATATATATATTATACACATTGTTTTTTATGATTGGGATATTCATGAGCTTATGGGATATAGATTTGCCAGGTTGGAATTTATAACTATGATTTATATTTGTTGGGATTGAACATTTACATGCATTTCTTGGTACACTTTTTCCATATTGACGTTTAGCAGTTAACAACGAGCGAAGACTTCTGGGGGTCGAAGCGAGAAGAACGGGAGAGAATACCACTTTATGGATCTTTATAGGATTTTATAGGGATATCTGAGGATTTATAAGTTTGACCCTACATCATCGTTAGTTCTTCCAAAGATCAGCCTGGCCAAAAAGAGCCCGAAATGAGTGAAGTCATGAGTTGCTTCGAAAAGTTGGGGCATGGTCAAGTTACACTCTTTTTCCCAAGGGGATGGGCATCAATCCATGTTTCGTGTGGATTTCGTATATCCATGGAACGGAGAACTAGACCACACATATATCATATTTTGACTTGGTAGATATAGGCACGTAATGGCACATATATGTATATATATGCTATTATATGCTAGAGGCTATCTATATCCCCATGATGCTTAAAGCATAGCCCCCATGTTTGATGGTCAAGTTGGTTGATCCCCAGACTACCTGTATGGACAGATGGAAAAGCCAAGGTGGGAAGAGTCAGAGAAGAGAAGAGAAGAAGAGAGAAGATCAGAGCAAAGAAAGAGTGAGAAGAAAGAAGATGCAGGTGCGCGAAAAGGTAGCAAAGTCGCGTTTTTCCAATGATTTGTGGCTCAGGAGGGTCGAAAAGTTGCTCGCTACAGTGGCGGGTGCGGAGCCATGTGGCCAGACGAGAGATGAAAAATTGCATGTCGTTGCGGCGTGAAGCACATTTCGAAGTCAAAAAGCTAAAAGCTAAAAGCACCTCACGTTCGAACCACTGTTGGAAATTGAGATGTCGAAAAAATGCACACGGTTGTGGCGCGAAGCACATTTGGAAGTCAACATGTACAAAGCATACCAGGGCCGGAGCACTTTTGGAAGCTGAGATGTCGAAAAAGTTTATTTCGGAGTCAAAAGTGCAAAAACAGACGGGTTGGGAACATTTTTGGAAGTTGAGCTGTTGAAAACAGCCTCGGAGCATTTTTGGACGTTGAGATGTCGAAAAACGTGCACGCCGTTGTGGCGCGAAGCATATTTCGAAGTCAAAATGTATAAAGCACACCAGGGTTGGAGCACTTTTGGAAGTTGAGATGTCGAAAAAGTACATTTCGAAGTCAAAAGTGCTAAAACTGACGGGTTCGGAGCACTTTTGGAAGTTGAGCTGTTGAAAAAGTGCACGCCGCTCTGGCACGAAGAACATTTCGAAGTCAAAATGTACAAAACACCGCAGCCTTGGAGCACTTTTGGACGTTGAGATGTCGAAAAAAAGCACGCCGTTGTGGCGCGAAGCACATTTCGAAGTCAAAATGTACAAAACACCTCAGCTTCAGAGCACTTTTGGAAGTTCAGATGTCGAAAAAGTACATGCTGTTGTGGCGCGAAGCGCATGTCGAAGCCAAAATGTACAAAACACACCATTCTCGGAGCACTTTTGAAGTTCGGATGTGGTTTTGTGTGGCAGGTGCAAGGGATTCTGTCAGTACCCTGCAAAAAGTGAGCAAAACGTGAGGGTTTTGTAATATTTCCAAAAACGATGGCAGGCGTGGGACATTTGAAGAGGATCTGCAGGGCGCAGTCGTCCAAGAGACATGTTCATCAGAGATGTTAGGAGGTCGGGGCGCTGATTTCATGAGACTTAAAAACAGGTGGAATGTACAGATCGCAACGCGCATTGGTACGAGGCCATCAGCTCTGCACTCAACTTTCCATTTTTGAATTCCATTTTTGAAGGAAGTCTCGCAGAATTGCTTCGTTTTTGATGTTGTCAACTTTGAAAATTGAGGAAGGCTCGCAGAATTGTTTCATTTTTGACGTTGTCAAATTCAAAAAAATCAGATAATCAGGAAGTCTTGCAGAATTGCTGCGTTTTTGATGTTGTCAAGTTCAAAAAGCTGAGAAAGTCTCGCACAATAGCTTCGTTTTCAAGCTTGCAGATAGACAGGTAGATAGACAGGTAGATAGACAGGTAGATAGACAGACAGACAGACAGAGAGAGAGAGAGAGATAGATAGATAGATACATCGATCGATGGATAGATGGATAGATGGATAGATGGATACATGAATGATAGATAGATAGGTAGATAGGCAGATAGATAGATAGATAGGTAGATAGAATAGATGGATAGATAGACAACTAGAACTACAACTAACACTATGATTACACTAAACTATTACTAAACTACAACTACAAATACATAATACAAATGCAAATGCACTACGCCACATTGCACTAATGACACTAATTACGCTACACTAATTGCATCTAATTACACTGCACCACACTACACTAATTAATTACATTACAACTACAACTAATCACACTACACTACACGGATTACACTGCAGCGACAACAGCAACTACTACTACCACCACCACAGCTACAATTGCAACTACACTACACTAATTACATTGCAGCACTCTACAAATTCAACTACAACTACACAACACTACGCTGCACTAATTAACAGTACACTACAACTACAACTACAACTACAACTACCGCTACATTACATTGCACTACACTACACCACAACTACAACTACACTACATTACACTAGACTACACTACACTATACCACACAACAGTACAGTACACTACACTACACTAATTACACCACACCACAGCTACAACTGCAACTACACTACGCTATTACACTACATTACAACTACAACTCCACTACACTACACTACAACTACAACTACAACTACAACTACAACTACAACTGCACTACACCACACTACATCCAGCAGTTGTGGTGAGGTGACCACTGCAACCATTGCAACCACTCCAGAAAACACAACTCCAACCACCTTTCGGTCCATCAGTGGATTCGCTCTGCCATCCACAACAACCAACCTCTCCTATAGGTTTCCTATTATTGAAACTTCAGCCACCGCCTTGCACGGCACTACTGGTATGAGTTGTATGCTGGCTGAGTCCAACATCAAAACACCCAAGGCACCCAGTACCTTTGGGGATGAGTGTAAAGTGAGCACTGGAGCACTGCTGCGCCAGGTATCCCGGGCTTTGTCACACAGAAGGAAACCGATTTGCTTGACTTTGATGGCAGCATGCGAGTGCGGACTCCCGGAACCCCGTTTTGCTGCCATTATGGCTCCTTAACGGCAGTTATATAAATGGGATTATTTATGATTATTTCATGATATACAACATCAGTTATAGGAGTTAGTTCATCCCATTTATGACTGTTCGTTGGGCCACAACTGTGGGGATGCCTATGCATTAAGCTTGCGGGATTGGAATTCACCAGCCACCTGGATCAGTTTGTATCCCTGAGGTTCGAACCTACAGCGGCATCCGCTTCAAGCCTCATGGCAGCCATCGAAGGGGTGCTGGGACATTTTTGGATATGGCTGAGGGGGGGCTCAAAGACTCTGATTTTTGGTCCGAAAACTAGCACTTAGCAGTACAAGTAAAGTAAGACTTCGTTTTCCAAGCTCATGTTGTGTGTTGCCCCTTAGTTTTCCAGGTTTTATCATCAATTTTCAGCTAAATTTATCAGTTCAAATATGGCAATATGGAGGTTTCCGAAAATGGGGGGACCCCTAAATCATCCATTACATTATAATGGTGTTTTTCCATGGCATAAACCATGCATTTTGGGGATCCCCCATTTATTGAAACCCCCACAAGTTCGAGGTGGGATTTTTACTAAGGTTCAACTACCGGGGCACGTTCACCTGGTTCCGCATGGACAAGTTCGTGAGGGAGCTCGCTTTGGGGAATTCAGAGATCAGAGTTGGATCGGCTTCTGGGGGTATTTATAGTGGATACATGTAAAACATATGTATGTATATATATATACATATATATATATGTATAAATTGTATTATATGTATATACATTATATATATATGATTTGCGTCCGTCCTCATAGCTGTAATGGTCAAAAAGAGGATTTCTTTATATTTTGGGCAAACGTTGTTTTAAGTGTTTTCCTTCGTGCGCAAAATCGTGCTTTTCGGTGCTTTCCCTCGTGCAAAAAAAATCGTGCTCTAGATCGTGCTTTTTGCTGTGCTCCCTCGTGCAAACTTGTGCTTTTTGCCGCTCTTCCTCGTGCCAAGAATCGTGCTTTTTGGTGCTTTCCCTCGTGACAAAAATCGTGCTCGAGACCGTGCTTTTTGGCCACTCCTTTGTGCAAAAAATCGTGCTTTTTGGTGCTTTCCTTCGTGGATTGCTCTCCTTTGTTCAGACATGGTGCTCTAGATCGTGTTTTTTGGTGCTCTCCTTCGTGCACAAAATCGTGCTTGCTCCCCACATCTTTGTGTGGGGTTCTTGTTTTTGATTCTGTATCCCTCTCCTCCTCCTCCTCGCCTCCTCCTCCGCCTCCTCCGCCTCCTCCACACACAACTTTGTCACACACACAACTTGGTCACACAGATCTTTGTCACACACAACTGTGTCACACACAACTTTGTCACCACAGCTTTGTCACTCACAACTTTGTCACACACCATCTTTCACAGACAACTTTGTCACACACACACATTTTTGTTATACACGACTTGGTCACACTGTCACACACACGCATCTTTGTCACACACAACTGTGTCACACACACACAACTTTGTCACGCACAACTTTGTCACACACAACTTTGTCACGCACCATCTTTGCATGGCAGGCGTGGCACTTGGCGACATTCACCTGCACTTTGCGTGGCAGGCGTGGCACTTGGCGACATCGACCCTTGTTTTGCGTGGCTGCGATTGGCGTGACAGGCATGGCACTTGTGGCACTGGACTTGGCTCTGGTGGCGCGCTTGGTCGCCGTTAGTCGCCCGGGGCACCGCGGCACGTTGCGTGGGAGGCGTGGCAATTGCTCACATCCACCTTCGTTTTGCGTGGCAGGCGTGGCACTTGGCGACATCTACCTGCGTTTGGCGTGGCAAGCATGGCAATTGTGGCACTGGGCTGACTCTGGTGGCGGGCTTGGTCGCCGTTAGTCGCCCGCGGCACCGCGGCACGTTGCCTTCGTTTTGCGTGGCAGGCGTGGCACTTGGCGACATCTACCTGCGTCTGGCGTGGCAGGCGTGGCACTTGTGGCACTGGGCTGACTCTGGTGGCGCGCTTGGTCGCCGTTAGTCGCCCGGGGCACCGCGGCACGTTGCGTGGGAGGCGTGGCTATTGCTAGCTTACCCCCTCCGTGATTTAACATAGCTATGGAAAATGATTCTAAAATTGAGTAAACAATGCCTACCTAGAGAGCCGATATACCGTACCTATTTCAAACAGTGCTCTTACACATACAATGCTACAATGCTATCGAAAGTAAAAGCTATTTGCTCGAAACATATTATGATAATGGTATCATTGACATACCCAACATAGCCCGATTTCCAACATTTTCTAAATACCTTTGCCGACCCCCGAGAACCCCGCTCCTGGTGCTCTCCCGCCTGCCACAAATCGTGTTTTTTGGTGCTTTCCCGCGTCCCAAACATCGTGCTCTAGATCGTGCTTTCTGTTGCAGCTATAAGGTTTGTGGTGTGTATATATATAATTATATATATATATATTTAAATATAAATATATATATATATACATATCTTTTAGAATAATTTATACATACATATGCACGATGCAATGCAATACATCATGACTTAATATTATACAATGTTTTTTAATTTCTGAAAATTCGTAACATGAGTTAATTTTGGGATAGAATGTATGTTACTAGTTTTATTGTAACTGCAGTATATCGTGACATTTATTTATGTTTGATAAAATCGCGTGTCGAATGATTTGATTTGCTATAATGATATTCAATAAGTAAAATATACGTTGAAATCTAATATATATGCGTAATCATCAATACAAGATGTTTCATCTACTATCTATTAGCATGATTTGTTTTAATACTAGAAATGAAATTTGATATGTATATGACATTTTTTGTATAGTATGTATATTTCGAATTTCACGTAAAAATTATTATATTTATATACACGTAGACTTAACATATTTAGTATATTGATTCATGTAAATTGTGAGTGATTTCCAAAACCTTTTGTTTTGGAATTAGAAGGGTTTGCCGTTCATACCACTGAAACATTTTGTTCAGCAGGGGAGCAACAAACCACCAAAACAACCAAAATTTTCCCGGGGAATTTCACTGTGGAGTATCTCCGCAGTTCCAATCAGACCACCAACCCAAACCGCCAGTTAATTGGTTGAAACCACCAGAATTTGGCATATGATGCATTGAATCCACCGCAACATGGGCTGCATGCCTTTTACCCATCTGGTATCAAACATGGTTGGCTGGGAAATCTTAAGTTTGAATTGGACTATCACTTCTAAATGGATATAATTTATATAATACATATGAGTAACTGAATAACCAACAAAATTAGCGGAAAACTAAAGTAGTGGGGAGTGGACATGGGATGTTTAAATTTGTGCGAAAACATTCACAACCGATATGGAACCACCCACTTACCGATACCATATTTTTGTACATAGCATGGAAGTAGAAACCATCACAACCGATAGGGGACCACCCACTTTGGCCATGTCCATTGCGGGTAGCAAGTAATTGTGTCATATTGTGTCATATTTTGTCCGCCACCCATATGTATATATCGGACATCCCTAACCTGAACATGGTTACATTATATTGTATAATGATACGCACATACATTATCATACATTGATATCCATCATACATATATATATATATAATCATACATATATATATACATATATATATACACACATATATATACATATGTATATATACACATATACATATATATATATACATATACATATATATATACACATAAATGTCCAGGCACATTCATGCATTTATGGACTGACTAAGGAGTTCCACCGAAGAATTCCCATTGTTCTTGAGTGTTCACTGAGGTCTATGTCTTCACCATGTGTCGGGATGCCGAGTCGAGACATGGGGTTATGGTAGATACCCTCTGGTAAACTAACATGGCTATTGAAAATGGCCAGTTATAGTGGATTTTCCCATTAAAAATGGTGATTTTCCATAGTTATGTTAGTTTACCAGAGGGTATAGAAAATCACCATTTTGAATAGGTAAATCCACTATAAATGGTGTATTTTCAATAGCCATGTTAAATTACCAGAGGGTATATGAAACCTTGTCAATTGATCGTTGATCTAGATATGACTGATATACTTGATACAACCTCTTTGGTCTATCTACTTGATTTATGTCAGGTAGGTTGGTTCATGAGTAACATAACTCGATATAACTCGGGTGTATGTTAGATATTGAACTAGTTAATGGGGGTTAAAAACCAACATACAAAATTGAGGGGTACCTCAAAACCCACCACACGATTTTCCCGGAAATGAATATCCACTCACATTCATTTCCCAGTTTTTTGTTTTGATGTTCACTGGGGTACCAGGGCTTTTGCCACACAACCATACATAGCTACCCATGTAAGATTTCGATGGAGGAATATATGTGACTTCTTGTGACTTCTGGCAAAAAAGACCATGATTTCCGTGGTAAAACATAATGTATTTTATTTCAATAGGGACTTCTAAAAATTGGGAGAAAAAGATATCCCCAGATCCATGGATTTTGTCAAAATTTGGCCCCAAAGAGTTGACATGAACAGAGGCAAAGCAGGAACCATGTGGCTTTGTCTGGAAAAAACATGTTGAAAATGATGAGAATCCCCTGAAAACGATGCAGTACTATGCAGTACTCCCTTGGAATTGGTACCCTAGCATATTTTTGCGCAAAACCATGTGCCACAATCCTTTTTTTGTCAAGCCAGTGGCACAGTGGAGAGGTTGGAAAGATCAACACCAACAACCCAGCCAGCAAAACCAATCATGATCCCCAACAAACCGGCCGCAGATATATGCAGACTCCACAATCAATCAGCTATCATTTATCAATTATATCCCCGCATCTGATCGTATTTGATCGTGAAAACCCTATCAACCACTCTAGAATTGATGTTTAAATCCCACTCAATATATCCCATTATAATCCATTATGTATATATATATATATCATTACATCCTGATTCTATCTCAGAATCTCAAAAAAAACATGACACATGGTCCATGGTCCATTAAAACTGGCGACTATTGATGGCTTAACGGGGTCCACCATCGCTAGACGGAGACGGAGGTGTGGTGTGGCTCCAGCTGCCGGGCATGATCTTCTTCTCCTTCGCCTTGCGATGCCTTGGCACGCTCTCGGAGGCCCTTGAGGTTGAAAAACGGGTGGATTAGATACTTGAGCTTTAAAGATGATTGAGTTTAAAATTGGCATTTGAATTGAATGTGATAGTATGTAATGTGGTTTGACCCTATATTTCGGTTTTATAATGGGGTAGTGGCTATTGGATTCAAAATGGGGTACCCATGAACCTACTAAATTTGTTGTTTCTAGTATTTAGCATGATTTAGCTATATATATATATCCCCAATGGGGGGTTGATAATTGAATTGGGCGTCATCAGCTTTAATAGATATGGGTCAAGATTGGGTACCTTTTTACTATTGGATGGGGACCCGGATGGTTTTTTTTTACAGAATCAAAAGGTCCAGTGGTCCTCTGGGTCTTAAATTTTGCCCCATAGCCTGATGATATGCAGTCACAAGCCCCAAAATTACACCTCTTTTTTGCCCCCTGAAATAGCAATCTTGACGCTCTTAGTTCAGTTGCATTAATTAAAACGATATCATTTTAACCCAGTTGGTCAGCTCTGGGACATTGAAATTTTAATTTTGGTTGGTCAATGTTGGTAAATGAACCTTTAGGTGGTTCAAGACCCAGTTTGCTGCATTTTCCACATGATCTTCCAACAACGCTAGGCGCTGGCGGGCTACACCTACGAGCACATCGACTTCACCAAAGAAGTCATTGGTGTCCGGCCCCCACAGATGGCCGGGGTGAGCTGAACACAGAGTTTGGTGCCCAATCTGGACCCATACTCACAGGACCCACATGTTTCTGGAATTTCAATGGGGAAAAGAGAAAAGTTATGGTCAACCATGAGATTCTAGTCTTCACGATTTTGAACGAAGCCCACTTCGTATTTGTGGATGCTCATGAAACAAAACATGGCCTGATGTTTTTTCTTTCGTTTTTTTTTTGGAAGGCAGTGACTATATAGATGTTTTGGGCCCAACAAACATTCATTCTTGCATGCAGCTTGTCTTAAGATGTCTTTTTGCAGTAAGATATCTAAGCCATCTGCATCAAACCCCCCTTTTTGCTGTGTGAACGGTGCAACGTCATGTTTTATCCAGCACAGGATTGTCACCGGAAAGCCTGCGGATTGACACAGCTTTGATGAGGTCCATTCCCATCCTGGAAATTGAACATCCACCATCATTTAGTTTGATGTTTTTCCCAGTTAAACCATGTTAAACCACCATTTAAAGGATATACCCGGCCTGGTTATGACTAACAGTTCGCCATGGTATGGCTAAATTATATAGATGGCTCACCTATTAATAGCATGGTGATTTTCCATGCTATAGATGGCCCTAATCGAAATAGATGGTTTACCTATTCATAGCATGGTGATGGCTTCCACGGCGAACTGTTAGTCATAACCAGAGGGTAAATTCCATACCCTTGGATTCCCAGAGGGTACGGTTCCAGTTGACCTTCTTTAGGTGGCTGCACGGAACATGGCCTACGGCTTCAGTCAAGAAGACACCAGCGATCTGCACGAGGAGCCCTGGTGATCTGCACGAGTTGGGGCTTCGAAAAAAGGGAAACCTAGGGTCAACTGCTCTGGATGGACTGGCAGTTCCTATTGGCATTCCCATGAAACATTGTAAATCGTCGGAATATAATAAATTATAACCCATAGGATCCATGTATGGTATATATGCGAACATTTCGGTATATTGATGGTAAATGCTACCATATATAGCATACATGGATCCTATGGGTAATAGTAAACCCTATAAATAACGGATGGTTGAAACAGTTGAAACCCTATAAATCATGGGATAAACAGGGATAAACCATCTACCAACTGCGGGATTCCGCAACCATCTGTATGTCCTGGGATGGGATTTCGTGAGGAAACGAATATGTTTTTTTTAACCAGAGGACATGAGGATTGAACTAGATGAACTAGGGAAAATGAGTCGATTTCCCCTGGATATTTCATTGTCAATGTAGCCAACCATGGAGAAACCCGAGGGATTTTTAAGGGGTGATTTCAAGGCCTTGAAAGCACTATTTCAAGCGCCTGCCTTGACAGGAGTCTGGGCAGGGAAAGCTAGTGCGGAAGCTTAGTTCGGGGACAGGAATGCGAAGAGATTGGAAGTGTTCAGCTGAACTTGGCCCCCTCAGTGATGTTTGCTGGTTTATAACCGCATCATACCACATCCATTGTAACAACATAGATATGGGGATGTATCAAACCAATCTTGCTATATTTGGGGGGATGAACATCCATTTACCAGTTATTTGGGGTTCACTAGGGTACCAAGGTTTTGACTCATACCCATATCTAATGATATCTACCACAAGCCCTAGTCAACGGGGTCCCTTCCCTGCCAGGTCTATGGCATGTCCTTGAGACAAGTCCGCCGGAGACTGCACCACATCCTCAATGGTCATCCGGTGCCATGGGGAAAACTCAAAAAATGCGACAATGAGACCTGGAAAATTCACGACAATTGATTGGGTTTGAAAAAGATCTACTGGTATATATAATATATATATAATTATATATATAGTATAATATGTCTTAAGATCTATATTGTGTTTTACTCTGGAGGCTTGACTTTTAAGTGGGCTCGAAGAGGGGGTGGATACACAGCAGTTATGGCGCTGTCATGTTTTGGAACTCTCGATGGAAAATGGAGGAAACATTTGGATTTGGTGATTTGGGGTGACATTTTTTTGGGTAATTTTGATGGATATGGATGGCGGAACCTATGAACTACTGTATCCTGGTGGACCCATTCATAGGTACATTGCTTTGCAACTGGGCTTACCATTGGATTTTTGGTGGATAAATATATCATGATATATCATGATATATCTCAGTTGGATGGGTTTAAACATGTAAAAAAAACACCGATTGCCGCCGTTCTCTACAGTTTTTTTTTTTAAATGGAGATCCAGGGATGATTTCACCCATTTCTTCGCACATAAAAAGGGCCTCTCATGATAAATTACCCTCTGGTAAACTAGAAAATCACCAATTTTTAGTGGAAACTAATCTTCCAACCCCGAGATAGGGCAGGGTCTATGTTAATTTACTGGAGGGTAATACTGATTGGTGGTTTGGAAAAGTTTCTATTTTTCCATATCTTGGGAATGTCATAATCTCAACTGACGAACTCCATGATTTTTCAGAGGGGTAGGTCAACCACCAGTTCAGCGTCAACAAGATTTTATAGCATCAAACATTCTACCCTCTGGTAAACTAACATAGCAATGGAAAATCACCATTTTTAATGGGAAAATCCACTATAAATGGCCATTTTCAATTGCTATGTTAGTTCACCAGAGGGTAAAGTGCAATGTTAAAATTCTATTCTTATAAGTTTCCAGCATCTATTACCAAATGGGACGATCAAATACCACTCCAGTTGCCCATTCTTTCCGTCATAATCCACTTTTGTTGTTGCATTCCCCAGGTTTAGATGCGGGAATTCCAATTGTTTGATCAACAATCCCGGCATTTGCTTGAAAATCTAACCTTTTTCACTTGTTTGATTTCTCGGTGAACCTGTTCTTAAATTCTTGTGACCCAGCATTTTTGTTGCTTGAATCTCTAAGTTTGATGCTTAAATTTCCCACTTTAGTTCAGGTTGGCTCACTTTGAGTCACCGCAAAAGTGCTACTTGTTTGTTCCAAATTTTCGCTGCGGGCATATCGCCATGAAAATGTCAGATGAGTAAAGCAATGATGTCAATTTATCTGACATTACAATTTCAGATAACCTACATTTTGTCTGGTGAAGTTCCAGCTCGACGCCGCAGACGCTGACGGGACCCGAGCGCAAGCTCTTCACGGAGTTCTTCTTAGCCAACGCCACGGGCTCGTTTGGGAGACCCAGAGGTGGCCGTAGTGGCCCACAGCTAGGTGAATTCTACGGTTTATGGGTTAACATATTACAACTACGTATCAACTACGTTAGATGGAACATGAACCAACATGAACCAACTTATAACATTTATAATTAACTACTTGGTGACTCAACCTGGAATCGTAAGTGGGTTTCAACATGTTTAACTACTAATTATAGTTACCTCAGGGCAGAAGGATAAGTAGGCATAGTCCAGTTGGAACTGGGGTTATAACCCACTTACTATACTAGAGTGGGTCTGCCACCAAGAGGATTGTTTGGAACCACACATAAGGGTTGGTTTGCGGGAGTTGTGGTGGATTTGAATTGGAGGTTAAGTGTACAGTCACGTTGTTGATATCTGTTCAAGATGGCAAGTGGTCAGTGACTTGACTATCAAGGTTCTTTGTTGTGTTAGACTGACATGTGTGCAAGACAGAATTAGAAGAGTACAAGATACTACCTCCCATCATAATATGGAAACATGAATGGATTATATATAAATATATCATTTTTTGCAGGAAAACCAATTCTCGGATTGATGCGTCATCCATAAACCTTACTGATGTGTCAAACCATATGTCAAACGAAGCCCCAGCCTCCCTCAGGTTGCCCACTACGGGGCGGGATGCCGTCACCTATGAGGTAGAACTCCGCTCCGTGAACCTGCCAAGATGCTGGGGAATTCACTGAATTCACGTAGCAAAACTTATATGAGGGGTCCTTTCAGCACCAAACATGCTGATATGATTCTGATATCCAGAATTCCGATAAAATACATTCACATACGATAAATATGGTCTAGTTTCTACCAACGGTGGATTTTATAACGCCTGGTTGAATGGGGATAGTTATGACCCATAACGGGAATAAGAATTGACAAGGTTTGAGAAGCTGGTCCACGTTGGTTTGGACGGGGTTGAATGACCCTTAAACATACAGGTAGACAGGTTATTTCATGATATACTGGTTGGTGGTTTGGAACACGGCTTTTATTTTTCCATATATTGGGAATGTCATCATCCCAACTGACGAAGTCATATTTTTCAGAGGGGTAGGTCAACCACCAAGCAGTATAAACTTCCAACAACATGAGCCCCATTGAATAGATCCAAAACAGTTGAGTGTTTCGATTTGGGGTTATTTTTTGGGCGGATTTGCAACCTTCCAATATTTTCTGGGAATCACACGTGGCAATGGAACATCACCCATTTACATTCATTTACATATTCTAATATTCTACAAAAATCTCCATTTATAGGGCCTATATAGTGGATGTCCAGCTGCCTATTTTCACCAAAGCACTGGAGCTTTGGTGCAGACCTACATGCAGCACCTTTGTTCGAACGAGAACATGAAGAGTTTCATGGATGCTCGGGCACTCGGTTTCTGTTTTTGTTCCGTTTTTGGGAATTGTGGATGGTTTTTTGAGGTTTCTACATCTTGCATAGCCTCTGGTAAACAGGTAAACTAACATAACTATGGAAAGATCCACCATTTCTAATGGGTAAATCAACTATAAATGGCAATTTTCAATAGCTATGTTTGTTTACCACAGGGTAACTTGGCGCAAATGGAGGAATCGTTTGTGGGCTTACTTCATCCGTACTGAGGCTTCCCAAGGGAACCCCTGCAGGGGGGAAGCCGCGGAGCTAAGCAGGGTCAATCGACTCTGGTTAGATACGAACTAGTACAACTTCATCTTTTGCTATGGTAAAATGTAGATTCACCGGCGAAAAATGAGATCTGTTTGGCAGGTATCTAAGATGAAAACCTTGATTACACATGTTTGAACAGGGACACATTACTAGAGTTTCCCAAGCACATGTTTGAACAGGGATACCGTTTTTTGGTATATGATGATACCCCCCCAATGTCAACCCACAGGAAATTGCACCACCCCAGGATAAATCCCTCACTTGTATGCTAACCCTGGATCAATGAACCCCCGGTCTCTACCATATGGGGAAGGGTATCATTGATATATATATATATCCATTTATATCTGGTTGGTGGTTTGGAACATTTTTTTATTTTTCCATATATTGGGGGTATAATCCCAACTGACGAAGTCATCTTTTTAAGAGGGGTAGAAACCAACCACCAACCAGATAATTATGCAACATGATCATTTGAAGACCAAGATTGGGGGCACAACTCGGCCTGACTCATCACTGGTGCAACATGATCCAACCTGGATGATCACCGCACTAAGCAACTGACGACAACTTCTCGTAGCTATAAATGGAAATGGGATAACCCCCAAGAAAATGAAGACTTGACAACTTACGATGACGCGGGCTCTTAACCACTTACCAAAAAGATCAACGAAGCTCCAGTTGGTTCATAAATCCCCCCAAAAATGATGAACTCTAGAGATCTCTAGAGTTTATTCACCCAGGTGGTCTCCATTATCGATCCGGTGGGCGCCAACAAGAATGCCTTGGAATATGCACCTGGGATTTTTCAAAGTCGCTGCGGGAACCAGGATTTCCATGGGAAAAGTATCGGAAAACTGGTGATTGACCCCAGAAAAATGGTGCTTTATTGGGATTTATAATACTTTGCAATGGGGAATAGTAACCATAATCCAAAATTTTAACCTGGGGTATGTCTAATTGGGAAAAATATGTCATTAGCCAAGTTGGTAGACATAGCTTTTAAAGAACTGTTGGGTTTATACATGGGGGATATTTCACGAACTAGGTAAAGGGGGACAATCATCCAACCTAGAACTGGGGGACACCACCCTGAATGGTCATTTGCGCAAAGAAAACAACGAAATAGTGAAACACTACCCTCTGGTAAACTAACATAGCTATTGAACATGGCCATTTATAGTGGATTTACCCATTAAAATGGTCATTTCCCATGGTTATGTTAGTTTACCAGAGGGTAAGTGTTTTTTTTTGGATGTTTTGTTTTGGCTTCTTTCGCGTTTCGGAATGACTCAATAGATACAGTATCGATTCACGATGGGTTCTCTGCAATATACAGTAGATCTGGAACCGGCAACATCCATCAATCAATGGAAATTCCAGGATCCTAAAATGGAGGTACTGTACCATATAAGGCCATATTTTCTGGGGATATTCCCTTACATAGGCCTTACATAGGCCTTATATATGGTAGGTACCTCCAATCTAGGATCCTGAAATGGCCATTGAATCAACATCAGACTTGATTTTTTCTTGATGCCATCGTTCACTGCAGGTCTTTACAGACAAGACGGTGAAGGCCCTTGGGCGCTGAAGGAATGGGGAGCTGGGGAGCAGCAGAGCAGCACAGAAACTGAGCAAAACCATGAGGAATCGAAAGAACAGAAATTTGGGTTTGAGTATCAAACATGAGATTTAGACAGCAAGAATAAGATGTTTCAGATATGAGATCAACAAACATTGGGATTTTTCATCAATGAAAGCAGGTCATACTGGGAAATAGATATATATATATATATATAATTATATATAATTGTATATATATTATATATAGATATAAATAGAACACCTGGCAAGAACAGTTTCAACTCATGACTATCCATCAGCCCAGCCCACAATCCGGGATGGCTTCACAGCAGGATCAACATCTATTGATCCGCACATATCCGCTTGGAGGCTCTACATGAGCTGGCCGCCAAACGCCGAAAGGCGGAAATGCTTGGGTTGTTGAATGGGGGATTTTAATGAGGGATTTTATTGTATTTTAATGGTGATTTAATTGGATTTTATAGTGTTTTAATGGGATATTAATGGGATATACCCTCTGGTAAACATACAAAAAGCTATTGAAAACTCCATAGACATAGTGGATTTACCCAGCTATAAAATGGTGGATCTTTCCATAGTTAGGTAAACGTTTACCAGAGGGTATATATGACTAAGCAAAATGGTCGTTGGATTCATCCCAATTCATGAGCGTGAAACCTAGGGGCCTTTGGGGATGACTTGGATGACTTGGAAGGACTTGGAAGGACTGTCCCATAAAACCACATGAGAAACTACCCTCTGGTAATTTAACATAGCTATGGAAAGATCCACAATTTTTAATGGGAAAACCCACTATAAATGGCAATTTTCAATAGCTATGTTAGTTTACCAGAGGGTACACATATCATGGGGAAAATGTGAGTGTTGTACTCCATTGATATCCTCTGGTAATCAAACATGGTAATGGAAAATCCCATCGAACATGATCGATGAACAATTTTGATGAGTTTTCCGTCGAGAAACCTTTACATGGCTGGCATGTCCGAGAGTGATTTTCCAGCCGTGTTTGATTACCAGAGGGCATGTCCCATTAATTCCATGATATCCCCAGTAATTAGATGTATACATATATAATTATCAGATGTTCCCTATCATTAGAAACTCCATGTACAGGGAAAATGTGAGTTTTCTAGTCCATTGATATTCAAGGGTTTGTCTGAAAATATGGTACCAATGGTACCCCATCCTGTCAATTGGTTGATCATCATTTCGCCTGGTAAATCTATGTAAATCTGCCATTTTGGGGACAGCCATATGGAGGTTTCCTAAGATACGGGTACCCGCAAATTATCCATTTTAGATTGGGATTTTCCACTATAAACCATCCACTTATTGGGATAACCTCATTTATGGAACCCCCCATATGTTTCTTTCATGCGAACATCCCGGTTCTCCACAGCCACGACGACCCTTGCTGTGCACAGTCGGGCGACACCGACACCCAAATGGTTCACGACACGATGCTCGGTGCGAGTTGGGCGGGACGGTCGTCAATGACAAGACACATAGCCTGCCGTGTCATCAAACATGTTTTTTTGCATCGAAATCCTCAACGAAACGGAGGTTTATAGCTGCAATACATGGAACTAAATGGTGGATTTTTATGGATTGTTCCTTTTCATGTTTGAGTACCAAAGGGATTGCCAGCGGGTATATAAATTGGTAGCAACCGTGGTATCTCCCATGAAATATATCCGTTGCGTTTGTTTGTCATAGTTGTAACATGTTATACCCCATCATCCACTTTCTATCCATGATCTGACCTGTCCAGTGCCCCCTATGACACCTTTTTCTTGGGGGACGTTGACAACCCCAAGAACCAGAAAAGCGAACTATTTTGATGCGGAAACCAGGGGGGATTGTCTGAACATACCTTAAACATCCTCAAAGCCCATATTTTGATATATTTTGTCAAACTTGTTCCATGAAAATTGTATGAATTGTGATATATACAGGTATAACGTGGTATAGCCACACAGCCAGGATAGCGGGGTTTTGATCCATAGCCAAATCGGTGAGTTGGAGAATTGTCAGACCTTCCCGTTGTGGTCAATTTCCGAGATCAGCTTTTGACTGCGACCAATGGTGATGGTGGCAATGGGGCTATGATTCACATCCCATATGTCATGAGACCAGGTTTGGCACCATCTTGGTATGTGAAAGATTCTATCGATGGGAATTTTGTGGGGATATCCCCTTACATAGGCCTTACATAGGCCTTATACATGGTAGGTACCTCCAATTTAGGTTCCTGAAATGGCCACTGATTCTAGCAGCATTCTTGGAACGTGAACTACAGGAATTTCATAATTTTGACTTTTTTTTTTGCCACAACCGGTTGGGTTTCCTTGCCAAAAGCCAGGGCTGCCGGGATGTGATATCCCGTGAGACACTGAGGAAGATGATCGTGTTGAACCGGCAGGGTGCCTGAGGATGGCTAATAACTTTTATGGGGAGAGCCAAGAGCCAGAAAAACCCAGGACAGGAAGACAGGAAACTTTCAGACTGGCGATGGGCTATCCTTTCGTGCTGATTTTTAGTGAAGATGGGCATTTCAGCCGCGAATTCCAGAGGTGTTTTATGAGGTGTAAGAAAAGTTGAGCCGAGAATCCCCGCATTCTTTCACTGCCTTTGATTCGTGCCTGGGACTACAATGAAAAGCAGCATTCGGCGCATGAGTAGTCAGCTCGTTTGACAATGTTTGACATCATTTCTTGAAATTGGTTTAAGTGAATGATTACAGAACAGCCCACGGCAATCTAACATAGCTATGGAAAGATCCACCATTTTCAATGGGTAAATCAACTATAAATGGTCAATTTCAATAGCTTTTTGTTAGTTTACCAGGCCGGGTATCTCTGTCGTACCAGTTTGTCACCATCCCATGACTGCCACCAAGTTTAACTTCAACCGTGACTGGGAACATATTTTGCATGTCATGGTGGGCCTATGTCAGAAACATCTGGGGATGGTGGCATTACCCTCTGGTGAACTAACAGAAAGCTATGGAAAATGGCCATAGAAATAGTGGATTTTCCCATTAAAAATGGTGATTTTCCATTGCTATGTTTGTTCACCAGAGGGTAGGTTTAGCGCATCAAGTGCACTACATCTGGATGCTCTTAAATGGTGTCCAAGTATGGGGGGTTTTCCAGCAACCAATAGAGCTGATGACACAGCGAACGGCTATATCAAGGCTATATCCCACTAGATCCGATTGAATGTCCCTATTGTATCCCATTATATCCCATTATATCCCCATCATATCTCTATTCCCTATGGATCCAATTAATTCCAAGGGGCAAATCACCAGCCAAATCATAGCCCAGTTAGCCGTCCCTCAGAAGGGCTGGATCCATAGGGTACCATTTGAATATCAGATTATCACGATTTAGGGAGTGCCCCCTAGTTAATAAAGAGGGGTTGATATCCTCCCACTATAACAAAATCCAGTATTATCAATGGTTAACCCCCATTAACCAGAAAAACCACTGTTGACCATGGTTTATTCCATTATTAACCATTATTAACCATGTTTTTCCCAATTGTTTTTTTCCCGCCGTCGCTATAATATGATGATTTTGTCCAGCCGCGCCAAGCCAGGTTGAAGCTCCAAGCCAGCATTTGGGCAGCTCAGAGGTGGGATCTTGGAACTGGACAGCCAGAGATGGAAAGAATGACAGTTTGCTATTGAAAATGGCAATAGAAATGGTTGATTTACCCAGCTATAAAATGGTGGATCTTTCCATAGTTATGTGGCTGTTTACCGGTATGGACAGCCAGGGATGTTGGGATAAAAACTGGACATTTAGATGTTGGGAATTGGATGTTTTCTTGGGACTATGATATGGACAATAGACAATATGGACAATATGGACAATATGGAAGGCAAGAAAAACCATATGTTGTTTGGCAAAACTGGCAGGTTTCCACCAAGCCAGGGTTTGTGTTTTCAAGGTTTCAACAGCAATTTTGAGGTCCAAGTCGCAGGTCTTGAAGTGGAAAGGATTCTGACCCGCCAGCCTGTCGCAAGTGGGCACAAAAAAATGGTTGCTGAACAACAGTGCTTTTTTAGGGCCTAGATCGCTGTGGGGACGGTTTCTAGATATATAATGATATATTTATATATATATATAATAATATAATATATATATAATAATATAATATATAATTATAATATATATATATATAATAATAATAATAATAATAATATATATATACACACTGCCCCACTTAGAAAGATGGTGAAACTACTATTGACACTTTTCCGGATCCATTGACAGCCCATTCTTGAACCATACCGGGTAGCCATGGGTCAAGTTAGTTGGATTGGACTAAGCCAGAGTAAGGATGGGAATAATCAATCCATTATGTAATAGAGATTTATGGTTTCATTGTTATTGGGGGATTCCCTTTAATAAAGGACGGATGGACATACCCCATGTTATCTTTCTTTAAGTTAGTTATATTATGTTATATTCCATTCCATCACATGTTGTGGTGCTTTGACCTCATACATTCCCAGATATACCATAGTTTTCCCACATATTTGTCCATATATTCCATATTTATTGTTCCCTATCTATTTGCTAAATATTCTTCCATATATTTTCATATGTTTTGACCCAAGCACATAAGTCCTGCTTCGCTCAGCATGGCTCAGCCGCGTGCCGCGTGGCACAGGTGTAATCTTACCCGATGTCAGTTGGGCCAGGCTTGGGACAAATTCGGTCACTCTAAGCGTTACTTGAAACAGGGTTGTGTCGGAAAATGCTGGTGATTTTAAGACATGTCATCAACATTTTGATGAAGATGGAGATATATGGAGATGATTTGAACATGGTGACCCAAAATGTGTCTGAAAATAGTGATGAACCATCAGGTACACATTTTTTTAGACAACCCAACATGTTGATTTGAATTTAACTGCAAATCATTTGCACGGGTCGGGGGTCGCTTAAGCTGCAACATGTGGGTTTCTCTTTCTGGGACAGTTTCCAGTTTTCTATGGGTGGAAAAACCCAGGCAATGAGGACATTCTGCGACATTCTACACCCCTAATGTTTGGTGTCTCATTAAATATCTTTTGACCCCTTTTGTGTGCGACTGGTCCAAATCCATGATCAAATTCCAACTTGGTTGGTTACCCTCTGGTAAACTAAACATAGCTATGGAAAATCACCATTTTTCATGGGAAAACTCACTACAAATGGTCATTTTCAGTAGCTATTTTGACATAACCAGAGGGTATTCCTAATATGATTCGATGCTATCCAAGTTGAGACGATCAGATCATTTTTCAAATACTCTTAAGTGGGAAACGATGATCAATGGCATGGTGAATATAGATTGAAGCCACAAGATTGTCATACAATATAATATGCATTCTTTATTTATATATATAATTATATATATATATATGATCTAAATCCCAAAGATAATTGATGAACCACTTTTATATATGTTACGATTCACTCCCACAACAAATCCCATCATCATGAACACTCCACGGCGAGGAGGCATTAGAGGCGCAGTTGGAGAAACTGCAGGGTGCGGGGCTAACGCTGCACGTCGGGGGTCCATGGGTGTCCTGGGGCCGGCTGGGAATGGGGCAATCGGTGATCATTATTAATATGGGTAAAACAATGTCATAAAATGTCACAAACCACCCATTTGGGAATTGTTTTACCCACATTACCATCGATATGGACATCGACCATCAAGATATCATGGATTATGTCATCATTAGACTATTACCCTCGATTATTATTATGTTTGTGATGTGTATTAGAAGCGAGAGTGCGAGTTGGAAGTGAGAGTACCAGCCAACCAAATGTGAAGTCGGATCGTGTCACAAAGAATTCATTGCGACCTTGGCTGATCTCACTGTAAATGATTGCTACAGCAGAAGGAATCACCAGATGGTGACTATTTCACGTTCAGGACTGGGATTATCTTCCCAGATTTGATCGGAAGAAGGAGGGATTTACCCGACATGGTAAACTAACAAAACTAATTATGGAAAGATCCACCATTTTTAATGGGTAAATCAACTATTTCTATGGCCATGTTCAATAGCTATGTAACAAATTACCAGAGGGTATCTAAAACTTCAGGGAATCAGCATGAATTGGATGAAGAACTTCAGGGAAAGTCAACATGAATCCTTGCTGGTGCTAGCTGGATGTCCTTTCTTTGAGTAAAGGCTTTTAAGGGAAAATAACGTTGGCACACACATAGTATATATATATATTGGTCAATCCAAAAGTGAAGATACCACATTTTATCAGCATTTTTTGACGGAGAAATGATGTTTTCAACCATAAACATGTTGTTTCGAACCCATATCAAACATCGCTGACACAAGTTTTCTTGACATCCTGTCCAGAAATGGTTTAAGGATGTTTAAGGGAAGATCGAAACTGGAACCCCCGATCAATTTTATGGCAACGGCATGTAGAAGCCATGGTATCCGGTTAAGTTTTTTTCTTAAACCAATCCATTGAACCATGCTGTATCACCATTTTCACTAGTTAAGGCCCTGTCTGGATGCTTGTATATCATACTGTATATCCCATGAAATGTCCCATTATATAAATTAAATCCTACTAAAGCACCACTTTTGTTGGGATACCCATCGGTAATCAAACGTGCCAACGGAAATATCCAATAAATACTGTAGATTTTTTAATTTGAAAATCAGCTATAAATGGTGGATTTTCCATTGCTACTGGCAAGTATGTTTGACTACCAGAGGTTAATGATGGGATTACTGATCATTTATAGATCATTCGTAGGTGAATTAATTGAAATTATTGTTGAATGATATCATCTATTAATGACCAGTAAGAAGATTAATCATCGCCCATATGTTGATGATTTATACCACCCATTTATGGTAAACATGAGGATGTATTACTATTGTTTCAACATGAATGGGTATTACCATGTATTAGTTATTTCAAACCTTAGTCTCTTAAATTTGGATTCCTGTTGATTTCATATGTCCAGGGAAAGAACTATGGAAAGAACCATGTAGCAATCCATGGAAATAAGGAGTGTTTCCACTAGAAATGTCACCCAATGAAGAAACCCACCACTTTGAAAGAAAAACGCATTGCTCCAAGTTCTTGGACAAAAAACCTTTCAACATCAAGTTAGATGTTACATACAAACTTCGTATTTGAAAATATTGGTCCGCAAGTTGGAAAGTATACAACAATATACAATACTGTGTAATTCGGGGCCCCATATTTCTTCAAAGAGGAGAACACCAAAGAATGCATGTGCGCAAGCTCTAACTAGAAAAAAAACTCATAAAAACAATATTACGATGTGACCCTGTATACTGTAAAATTGGTTAACTAGTGCATTCATGAGTGTATGTATGGCTGTGTGCTCATGTGCATGGATGAACTGCAAATGCAAATCCACAGTTTTTAAGTATTGTTTTCGGTGCTGCGAAGACCACGGTAAAACTTAGGTAAAACATGGTGAAACAAATTTATCAACTGCAAAAGGAATGCTAATGAATTTAATTTGTGTTCCCCTACGTATTTGTAGCAGATCAAAGATGTGTTACTGTATTTCTGTCGCTACGTTGTTGTGCATTGGTCCGGAGCAGTGTTGCAGTAACAGATTACAATCACTATAAATATGTCATTTTATCCAAATACAACGCTTAAACTTTATTGTTGCGTTTTATACAAACAAACCCCGTCGATATACTTCCAAATTTTCAAACAAACAAGAACATATAATTCATCTAAAAACTCAAACAGTCTTATATAAATCATAAATACAAAGCAAGTAAAGTAAAGCAAACATCAAACATATACTTATAAAGTTAAACAGTTGAAGTCAAATCGAGAAGTAAAGTCAAAGTTATGTTACAAGTTAAAGGTTCTAAATTTTAGTTGTAAGTTGTAGGTTCAAAGTTAAAAGGTTACAAAGTTATAAGTTACACAGTTTTTAGTGTCAAGTCATAACTAGAAGCTCTAAGTTGTAAGTTAACAGTTATAACAATGTGTTTCAATTTTAAAACAGTTCCTAGATCTTATAAACTGATTTATTGAAGTTTGATAGTCAAGAGTAATGGATTATGAGTTGTATTTTACAAAGTAGCTATAAGCTACAAGTGTGTATATTTGGTTTTATCAAGTTATATACAAGTATAAAAGTAAGTTAACATATAAGCCATTATTTGGGGTTTGCAGAACGGTTCGGAACGGTTCCGGAGATTTCCCCAGAACGGTTCGGAACGGTTCCGGATACTTCCAAAACCTCAGAACTATTTAGAACTATTTAGAACGGTTCCGGAACGGTTCCGGATTCAAAGCCTATAGACCCCAGAACGGTTCGGAACGGTTCCGGAGACCTCCATATAATAGCATATTTTAACTTGTATAATAGCATATTTTGACTATATAATTATTTAACTTTAATACATAGAGTTTGAACAAATAAACAAATACTAGTACCATAAGCAATGATGATTCGACACAAGCGATACTTTCAAACGGATACATTTCAATACAAACTACACAGTTGTATGATTTTGTTAGAAAAGATTCCACAGAACAGTTTTCAAGACAGGTAAGATTTTGAAAGGGGCCACGCCTTCCATGAACAAACAGCTGAGAAACTTCCAGCCTTTTGTAGTCTACATCCAGTTTCACCTTCTCCCTTGTGCTCAGCATGCCTTTGCACTGCCTGTTCAAAGACTTAGGCGGAGAAGTTGCCTTCCCTTTGTCGTTTTTCTGACTCCTTTCTCTTGTAGCCTTGGCCCTTGGAGCCACAGGGCGGCTCTTTGGAAGGTTTTGAAAATGCGAAACAGGAGGAACTGCTCTTGACCGTTTTTTGGGGGGGTTTGGAAGCTGTGGAGAAATATCTCCGTGCAAAGTTGAGGTCTGCAGAACCGTTCCGAACCGTTCTGGAGGTCTGCAGAACCGTTCCGAACCGTTCTGGAGACCTCTGCGCTAAGAAAATTGTCACGTAAATTGGTTCTCTGTGCCAAGAATCCCGGGAGTAGGAAGGCACGGACAAGGTTGAGCCATTCCGGATGCATTAGTCCCAACCTGAAAGTAACCCATCATCACCTTCAAGAACCCCACCGCTAGCGCTATATATATATAAATATTATATTCTGAAAAGTATCAAATCATGGTCCAAGAAATTATCGGCAGCTATATACAATATAGTTTGTTTCTTGTATGGGTAGTAGCACGGTAGTAGCAACAGTCTTGCCAGAGTGACAAAATACCAACAATATAGCCTGGATGTTGCACTGCTACTGCATATTTTTGATCCAGTCCAGAACTGGTGGGGAAAAAAACAGCAATGGGAATGCAGCCAACAACCAGCATTGCTTTTGTTCTTTTTTTGAAAAGGGAAGTCACATAATCCCAACAGCCTGAACACATTGCAGAAGCCAGCTCAGCGCGCCCAAACACACATGGACTGCCTTCCAAATAATTGAAATTACATATTGATAGAATTCGACTTCAGCGCCGGTTCCTTCCACCTAAGTATTTCTCCAATTGCGCTTAAACCGCCCGAATCTTCCCTCAAACAAATGCAGCATCATAAATTAAACCCACTATCTGTATGCGGGTTGTGTATTTATTCAAGGTTTCAAGTATTTGGGGCAAGGTTGTTAAGTAATCAAAGCTGAATTTAGCCCAGTCTCACACTAGAAAATTAATTAGCTGCAAGTAGAATTCCACTTCGGCGTTTGTTTCTGTCGCCTGAGTATGTCTCCCATCTTGAAGAAAGAGCAAACCATACTTTCACCCAAATGCCAGCCCCAGACTAGAATTTGGAATGCATAATCTACTTAAGCGCAAATAGAATTCTACTTAGGCGTCAGTTTGTGACGCCTAAGCAAAATTCTATTTGCGCCTAAGTAGATTATGGATTATGTTTTCCAACAGCCCCAGACTAGATTTCTATTTGCGCAAAAGTAGATTATGAATATAAATTATGTCTTCCAACAGCCCCAGACTAGAATTTGGAAGACATGGTCTAATTAGGCGCAAATAGTAATAGAATTCTACTTAGGCGTCAGTTCGTGACGCTTAAGCAGAATTCGTTTTGCGCCTAAGTGGATTATGAATTATGTCTTCCAACAGCCCCAGACTAGATTTCTATTGGCGCATAAGTAGATTATGAATATAAATTATGTCTTCCAACAGCCCCAGACTAGAATTTGGAAGACATGATCTAATTAGGCGCAAATAGTAATAGAATTCTACTTAGGCGTCAGTTCGTGACGCCTAAGCAGAATTCTTTTTGCGCCCAAGTAGATTATGAATTATGTCTTCCAACAGCCCCAGACTAGAATTTGGACTGCATAATCTATCTGGCGCAAATAGAATTCTACTTAGGCGTCGCGAACTGACGCCTATGTAGAATTTTATTTGCACCTAAGATTACCTAAGTAGATTTAGTCCTCAGAAGAAAGACCGAAACATAAGTTCACCCCAATCTCACAATCAGAATTTTATATCTATAGACTGTGGAGCAGATAGGTATAAAGTATCCATGGCAAGTTTTTGTTATTAGCAAAACTGAATTCATCACCGGTCCACAATACAAATTCAATTTAGGTCAAGCACTTCACGACTTTGAGTGCAAACCCAGATTGATGAATCTGGATGTGTCCTCGCTGCGTGCATTGTTTTGTTTCTTTACTTCTTCAAAAGCTGGCTAAATTTCCCTTGACATTGTTTCTACCATCACCTTCTATAGGATATCCTTATTGCCCTGGTTTCTTCCATAGTCCCTTCCATAGTTCCCTCCATGGTCCACAAGGCCCACAGGTTAAGAGGCTAAAGTTTGAAATAATGTATTAGCAATAAACAATTTAATAACATTCATGGTTTTTACCATTGTTTTACATCATTGTTTTCCTAACAAAAAAGTGGTTTTCTAACATTAGGGCGGATCCCTACATAAGAAAATCACCATTTTCTACGCACATCGATGGCCCTCAGGACTTCGCCTCCAAACTCAGTGGCGCCGCATCACCGGAGCCGCCGCCGCTGAAGACATCGCGGACCGCGGAGCGACTTGTTTGACGCGGCTCAAAGGAAGCCACGGACCGTGGAAATCCGGGGACGGGAGATGAGGTGCAGATGTCATGCCCAGATTAGCTCACCATGGTGCTGGAATATTTAGCTACAAAACTGGTTCATTTTGGTGGTAAATGTTGGTAAATGTTCTATAATGTTCTATACATGGAGCATAATGGGATGGTGTGTACCCCGAAATTTATGGATGAATAAGACGCTTCTTTTACGGTTCATCCGGATATGTGCACATAGGTTACTGTATTTTTGTAGCGTAGACACGGGAATTATAATACCCAGCTGCAGCCAGCAACCAGTTTTGTGCAATATACGTACATTATTCAAGTATATCATCATACTTCCCTGAATTCCGCAGAGCTACCGAACAACGCGCCGAGCAATCCTTTGATTGAGGTGACATTTCGCCCACTGGGATTGTTTCGAAGTTGGAGTGTGATGACCAAGGCAATACTCCCCCAAACTAAGCCACCATAGGTTTGCACAAACTTGTGACCAAGCAGGATTTCCGGCAGGATTTTTGAACATGCCGTACTTCATATTGTACAGAAGGCTACCAGAGGTATTGGGTTTCTCAAAGTGGAAGAAAAATGAAGAAAATGGAATGCAAAGTGTTTCCGAAGTTGAGACTCGTTGATCCTATTGGGATTTTCATACTGGGATACCGGTTGTTGGATGTATGGTAAACCATGTCAGACTTCCAGTATCATCACAGTCTTTGCGAATGCTCAGAGCACAACAAAATGGCCCCCGTTTCTCTTGCGCAGCACATCAAAACCGACAATGTGTCACCCATGTCACATCTCGAAGAGAAGGTTGGCATGGCGAAAATGAAACGCGCAGATCCGTTTTTTTCCGTGTTATTAAAAACAAAGTACATGCAGGGCATTCAGGACATTGATGAGCACTTCCAAAACACCCTCTAGATCCACAGATTACAATATAGAGGGTGGATCAGGGAAGACATTCGATGATTCATCCTTTGGCAATCGATCATTGCAATGGAAGATCCTCAGCATCCGCAACAGGTGAGTCATCTACGGAAAATCGGATGCGGGGTCGGCGCGCTTCTGTGGTTGCCCCTTTTGCTGTGGGAAACACTTCAGAGACACCAGGTGCAGCAGATGTACTAAATCGGCATGTCATGTAGAAATCCCTGATTCGTTGCCTAGGATATCCCATGATTAGTATCCTTAAACCCCCAAATTTGGATGGTTCCTGGGCTCCATTGGTTCCTGATGGTTCCTGAGCACCGGCGGTGTGCCGAGGGCCTTATATCCTGGTGGGAATCCATAATCCCAACAAAGGATACCCTCTGGTTATGTCAAAATAGCTATTGAAAATGGCCATTTATAGTTGATTTTCCAATTGAAAATGGTGATTTTCCATAGTTATGTTAGTTTACCAGAGGGTAGAACAGTAGAATCCTAGAATCCTACTGAAATCATTTTATGGAAGAACAAACATCGTGGACCCCCCTCTGCAAATGGGAGCGCCAAAGACTTAGCTCTCCTGAGCCAATGGGCTCTCGAAAACCACGGCTACTCGACATTGCGGGGGAGAGTTGGGTGGATGGATTGGATGTAGAATGGAATTATGAGGAGCAAAATATGCCTTTAATATGTGGGGATTACCCTCTGGTTATGTCAAAATAGCTATTGAAAATGACCATAGAAATAGTGGATTTACGCATGAAAAATGGTGGATCTTTCCATAGTTATGTTAGTTTACCAGAGGGTATGGGGATTATACCTATGTTTCCCACTAAGGTTGGAGTTCCCCGTTCGTTTTTGACGAACCCATATCACCTGTAGAAGTCACTTATGCAAACATCAGAGGGATTTTTTTTTGCCACAGATGATGCCCACATTCCCATTGGTTTTGTCGATTCAGTGAATCCGACCCCCTTATGTTGTTCCAGAAAGCGGTGGTGTTCAAGATGGAAAAAACCCTTCGCTCAAACCACTTCTGTAAGAGGACGTTCCCTTTGGTTGCCACGTTAGAATAACCCCAACTGGGAACTCATGAATTCTGGCATAAAAGAAATCAATGAACCAACCGCATACCACCCATGCAGCCCCCAAACCTGAACTAAGTTGATTTATGGGATGCCACCAACAATGCTGGGTATTGGAAGGGGCCCTTGCATAGAAAAGTGGTTTATAACCGCGTCCAACTATAGATATATCTGCCATAAAGTCCAGTTGTGTGACAATGGGGAGTAGTTTTATTGGGAATTACGATGATTAAGCATCAAAAATTTGTGTACCCATTTCACATAAGGTGTTTATACCATGTACAAAAAATAGAAAACGGTTACTGTTCAACTCTAAAGTTGAGGTCGTGAACGAGGGATAAAGTTCAATTCCAAAGTATCCAATGATGATTAACTCAAATTGTTGGCTTTCCCTTAAAAATCAGACCCAGAAAACCATAGCTATAGGATATATCCCAACTTTTGGTGGTTATTATATAACATATAAAACACATAGCATGCACGACCTGCTCAAAAACGTGGATAGCCCACCAAGGCAGGGCTTCAGCCGTGCATGGTGGAGAAAATGGTGGCCATGGCGCGCTTGGAACGGCGCTTGGGCAGCTAAATGGAGAATACCCACTGTTGAAACACCAAACTTCTGGGATTGGATGGTTGTAGATCTCTCTCAAAATGGTATTACCCATAGGATCCATGTATGGTATATATGCTAACATTGGGGGTATATTGATGGGATCCATGTTACCATATATAGCAGCACCATCGATCCTATGGGTTAGTAGGATCTTATATGTATCAATAGCCAAGTACTCGTACTCTTTTTGTCTGGCTGGATTTGATGGCTGGGGTATCAATGGATGTGAAGAAATTGGATCACCAGCAAAAAATGCTATGGTGCTCTAGGTATTGATCAGATTCTTTGTTGTTGTCTCTTGGGGTTAGGTGGAATTTACCACACCATTCCATAAAACACGAGAACAATAGAAACTTCAAGCAGGGGATCAAAAAAGCTGCGATTCGTTCAGCATTCCAATGGTTTTTGGGAGATCTTCCCCGGTGCACCGAAGAATTTTTCAGCGTCCAAACCATCAGTTGCTTACCGCACCTGTCATCAACCGTGGGATCTACGGGGCGGAACAGACTGATGTCTGGCTGGCTGGATAGAAATATCCATAAATCATCATAAATCTACAGTAGATTTCCATAGCATTCCCATATCTGGTTGGATATTTCTATAGCATTCCCATATCTGGTTGGATATTTCTATAGCATTCCCATATTTCTACATCATGCTATGATATTGGATCATTCCCAGCTGAACAAAAACACATATTTCCATAGCATTCCCATATCTGGTTGGTGGTTTCAATCATGGCTTTGATTGTCCATTTCATACATGGGATGTCATCCTTCCCATTGACGAAGTCCATCATTTTTCAGAGGGGTTGGTATACCACCAACCAGCCAAACATTTAAGTGATGATTAACGACTATTGAATATTTTTTTGAATAATATTGAAGATATATCATTGCCAGTGCCTTAGTTCACCCTGAGTCTTGATTCATGACCAATCGAGAATAGTCCATAAATATATCAATAAATTCAGCACTTAAACATGGATTGGAGGTGAATTATTGAAAATTATTGACATTGCTTAATCTCGTGGTGTTGCAGGCCAAAAAAGGTCATTCCGCACCTTTCAGCTCACTTCCAAAGGAGCATACAAGGATCATGCGAACATGCGATTTCTTGAAGATCTAATATGCTGATGTGTGATAATTCTATGGGAGTTCATATGTAGATGATTGGATATTGGTCTCAAAGCGGATACATCAAAAAAAAAAATACGTTCAATGGGGAACGTGATAGATTCATATAGGATGAAACATGATGAACCATATGGATTTTTTTTGGGTCCCAAATTTTCAAGACACGCCCTGAATTTCAGATATTTCAGTATGGACCTCCGAGATCTCTGGATCTCTTGATGGCAACCTCATTTGGATTACCCAAAGATGGTATATAATTTGTTTGCTAACCATCTTTGGGTAATCCAAATGAGGTAATTTGTGATTAAGATTTTCATAGAGGTATCACAAATTAACATCTTTTTTATAGATGATTTAGCTGTCGATCATGGTGATTTAGATAAACTTTCATGGCACCCATGTGTGGTAAAACTGGCAGATCTTCCATCTCGCCGCGGCTGGCTGTGTGCCATGCCGGTGTGGCAGAACGTCAACTTGAAGCAAAAGGCCGCCGGAGGGTCGCTCCCAGGATCTTGGTTTACATGGAACTCACCACCAGCCCTGCTTCACTGGAAGACACCATTTCAGTCCTCCGCAACTTTGGAGTTCACCGGAGGGAAATGAGAAGTGGGTTTGTCTGAAAATAGTGTACCCCTACACCCAATGGTTAATGATCATTATCCCTACTAAATGGCTATAATTGGGGGTATACCCTATTTTCAGACATACCCAAGTGGCAACCTCTTAGTGAGCAGAGGGTCTGACATGTTCTGATTAGTCAACTAATCAAGTCAGATGAAGTCAGATGAAGTCAGATGAAGCAAGGCATCAATTCTTGGTTTTTCAACCCCCGCCATGAGGGAAGGGTCCCTTGTTCGGCACATATCTTTTGATGGCTTGAAGCCCAGTACCCTTGGGGGATCCACCCCGAATCTATGGGAAAGTCCAGCTACTTGAAGGGACATGGACTTAGCTCACCAGCAACTGGCTTAATATCTCCCGAAATCTCGTAGAATCACGTATAATCGGGTTTTATTTAAAAGGTTAGAAACCATTAAATGGTCCCAGCCCTACAAATCAGTTCAGTAACTCTATGGCCCACGGCTCTCTTTTTGTCCCAGCCCATCTCCAGGCCATCTTCGAGATCATCCAACGCGAGGATGCCCGGAACTTGCCATACGACCTGGCGGATGAGGAGCGGCCCGGGGCGGCTCCTGAGGGTTGGATTTCTTGGATTCTTTGGATCCCAAGTGGAAAATCCACAGATCTTGGGGAATCAATGAAGGGAATACCCTCTGGTAAACATACAAAAAGCTATTGAAAATGGCCATAGAAATAGTTATTATAGTTGATTTTCCCAGCTATAAAATGGTGATTTTCTATAGCTATGTTAGTTTACCAGAGGGTATCTGTGATTTTGTTTGGGTTCCGGATGAGCAGATCCAAGTCGTGTTTGACCTTTTCCAAAATCGCTACTGCCATTTCAAGACACAGTTGCATGGCATGGTTTTTACAGGGCCCACTTATTTTGGGGCCGACACAGGGCTACTCAAACCCACATGCCTAGCATGGATCCTTGGTCCCATGGAGCAGTGCGTGTTATAGGTCGGCCCCTTTGCCAAATGCGGGGCTGGAATGCTAGGTTCATATACTGGTTGGTGGTATGGAACATTTTTCATTTTTCCATATTGGGAATAATACCCCCATTTGACGAATACTTTACAGAGGGGTAGGTCAACCACCAACCAGTATAGTTTCATGCGTTTGCCCGGCAAATTTCGGATCAAGACTTGGTTTGGAGTCTGGAACGCTGGCATCAATGAATAGCAATGCGACTCAGTGGTTGGAGTCGCAGACAACCTTTTTGCAAAGCTAGTGCTCCCTGATTTGTACCTGCCTTCCAAGGGTTCCCAAGGCCCCCAAAATGATAGAAGAACTCATAGAAAAATATAGAACAACTATTGTACAATGGCCTATGGCTTTGTCTGAAAATGAATGTGCCCCTCAAATCCAAATTCTGCTACCATCATATGTTCGTATATTTCCCAAGTGAGAATTCCGTATGGTATAATTACCATGGTATGTCCCAGTATGTCCTAGTTTCATAGTGATTCTAATTTTTACTTGTAGATACTTGTAGTTTGAATTCGTTTCTCATCAGATTGTACCATTCAGGAATCTATGGAGTATACCGTGGTATATAATATCCATTCATATCCATATCTTAAGTATCCTAAGTCTATACAATGAAAGAATCGTTTTTTTCATATGAAAAACACATCAGTTTGACTGTGCTTTTAGTGGTGGTCCAGTGGTGGTTTGAAAAAACGTTCCTTCGACTCCACCGGCTCTGCGCCTTGTCTTTGCATGCCATGGTCGACGTAGTCAGTTTGGAGCTCGTCAGCTTACAGGGGAAGAGGCGGAAATTCGATGCCACTTGGATGAAAATGGGAAGAAACTGAGTGTATACCCTCTGGTGAACTAACATAGCAATGGAAAATGGCCATTTATTAGTGGATTTTCCCATGAAAAATGTTGATTTTCCATTGCTATGTTAGTTCACCAGAGGGTAACTGTATAACTATGATTAACTGATTAATTACGATGGAACAGTGGGGGATTGAGGGGTAACACTACAATGAACACTTGAAATTTGAATAGGGAAAGTGGATCTAATAGGGAGAAAGAGATATTTGCATATGGGTTGCTGGGCAAATCATCAACAATACACAATTGGGTGTGTCTGAAAATAGTGAATGGACTTATATGGACATCCCAAGTCATGGTCCTAGAGGAAACAGATGAGGGAAAACACAGAATGACCACTTGATAGAAAGATGCACATTCTTTCACAACTGCGAATGGATCAAAACCTATTTTACCATATTGGAGGGGTATGAACACCCATTTGCAAAGATTTTACCATCTATTTTGGGTCTTAGCAGGGCACCAGGGTTTTGACACCCAAGAAGCTGGTTGCAGCCAGTGGGTGACCAGAATCGCTTCCTAGGCTGGGGAGATCCGGATCAAACACCTGGATTTGCGGTTTGTCGATGATTTTCTCAAGAAAATCAACGAATCCTGATGAATCTCAAGGGAATATGTTATTATTTTTTAGTTCCAGTTCCAGATCAGGGCCAATCCAAGTTGTGTCAAGCGTTTGTTATATTTTCCAAGGCAACAGGTCTTTTGCTGAACATGTAATGTCATTTAGTGAAATCTTCAAAAGGGCTAGAGTGTATGGTGCAGGAATCAATCATCGTCTGTTTGCGCAGATGGATTCAGATGCTGTTCTTATATGTGGGCCTGCAAAGTTGGATGGTTGATTTTTTGATGTGGACATGTGGGTATCTCTGAAAATGGAGTATATAATGGTATATAATGGTATATAATGGTATATAATTATATAATGGTATATAATGGTATATAATTATATAATGGTATATAATGGTATATAATGGTATATAGTGGTATATAATGGTATATAATGGTATATAATGGTATATAATAGTATATAATAGTATAATGGTATATAATGGTATATAATGATGGTATATAATGGTTATGTTTACTATATATATATATATGTATATAGATATAATTATATATATATATGTATATATATATATATGTATATATATATGTGTATAGATATATACCAAAAAATCATTTTCAGTCCAAAAAATGCTGATGAAGCATCATTTTGTGTTTCATCCCTATATGTTCAGAGTTAAACCCCAAAACTGGGTGCTCCTAAGCTATTCGATGGATAAAGCCAGCATTTCGTTTTGGAGTGTCCCCGCCCTGGAAAAGTGACCTCTTTTGACGGATGAGTAATAATCCTGGCATCAAAGATGTTGACTAATGACTAATAATAGTCCTTCCAACCCGCAAATCTTTGTGGTTTCCAATGTATTGAAACCATTCCGGCAAAAGTGGATGGGTCCGGCTCTGGCGAGGTCGCTGTTTCCATGACTGGCCGCCAGCTGCGGCAGATGCTCAGCGCCGAGTTGCCTTCCAAGCCCGGGTCACGCATCTCGCTGCAGCATGGATCGTCGCCACTGAGCTTGTACGAGACCCTCGGGCAGCAAGGAATCGTTGGAGAAGGCGTCACCTTGTCCTATGTCTACGTTCCTGCGGATCTGCTGGCGGCCTGGAAATATTTGCGAGTAGAACAGGTGGAGGATGAGGAGTTCTCGCTGCATGGGCTGACACGAATTGAAGGCATCAAGTCGACGCAGCAGCTTCTTCAACTGCCGAGCAGCCTTCAACACCTGAAATTGGAATGTCCATTCAATGAAAGCCTTGTGGGAGTCAACTTTCCGAGTGGTCTGCAAACCCTGAGTTTTGGATACGGCTTTGACCAACGCTTGGATGGTGTGACTCTGCCCGCAAGTCTGCAAACCTTGACTTTTGGAGATAACTTTGACCAAAGCTTGGATGGAGTGAATCTGCCAGCAGGTCTGCAAAGCTTGATCTTTGGAGAGCGCTTTAACCAGAGCTTGAACTGGGAGACTCTGCCAGCAGGTTTGCAAACCTTGACGTTTGGAGATCACTTTGACCAAGGATTGGAAGGTGTGACTCTGCCAGCGGGTTTGCGAACCTTGACTTTTGGAAATGAGTTTGACCAAAGCTTGGATAGGGTGACTCTGCCAGCAGGCCTGCAAGCTTTGACTTTTGGAGATCAGTTTCACCAAAGTTTGGATGGGGTGACTCTGCCAGCAAGTTTGCAAACCTTGACATTTGGAGATTGCTTTAACCAAAGCTTGGAAGGTGTGACTCTGCCAGCGGGTTTACGAACCTTGACTTTTGGAAATGAGTTTGACCAAAGCTTGGATAGGGTGACTCTGCCAGCAGGCCTACAAGCTTTGACTTGTGGAGATAAGTTTCACCAAAGTTTGGATGGGGTGACTCTGCCAGCAGGTTTGCAAACCTTGACATTTGGAGATTGCTTTAACCAAAGCTTGGAAGGTGTGACTCTGCCAGCGGGTTTACGAACCTTGACTTTTGGATATCAGTCTGACCAAAGCTTGGATAGGGTGACTCTGCCAGCAGGCCTGCAAGCTTTGACTTTTGGATGGCGCTTTGACCAAAGCTTGGAAGGTGTGACTCTGCCAGCCGGTCTGGAAACCTTGACTTTTGGGTTTCACTTTGACCAAAGCTTGGAAGGTGTGACTCTGCCACGCAGTCTGCAAACCTTGACTTTTGGACATTGCTTTAACCAAAGCTTGGATGGTGTGACTCTGCCAGCGGGTCTGCAAACCTTGACTTTTGGATGTGACTTTAACCAAAGCTTGGAAGGTGTGACTCTGCCAGCAGGTCTGCAAAGATTGACTTTTGGATATGACTTTCGCCAAAGCTTGGATGGCGTGACTCTGCCAGCTGGTCTGGAAACCTTGACTCTTGGATATCGCTTCAACCAAAGCTTGGAAGGCGTGACTCTGCCACGCAGTCTGCAAACCTTGACTTTTGGAGATTGCTTTAACCAAAGCTTGGAAGGTGTGACTCTGCCAGCCGGTCTGCAAAGATTGACTTTGAGTATTTACTTTGGCGGAAGCTTGGGTGTTGCCACGTTGCCAGCCGGTTTGCGAGAATTTTCTTGTCGGAGGGTCACCGTGGCTTGTTACTAGTGTTTCTAAGCAGCGGCATTTGTTCCACAGACAAAACACCGTGCTGCGATCCAGTTGCATTTGTAAATTTAGGCCCTTCGTCTAAGAATCCATCAACAACCTGCCCGAACTCCTGTTTTTGCTCTGTATATTGTAAAATAATAATACATGACAATAATAATGATGTTTAATTATATATATATATGTACCTGGATCTTCAATTGCTACATTACATTGTTTTGGCTCCTTTTGAGATTTGCTTGTTTCCAAAATTTGCACAACGATTGGAAGTTGACATGCTCGATGTTTTGAACAGTTGCTCCTTAAACTCTATTGGCCGGACTTCTTTTCTCAAATTGCGTCCGATTGCGCTTATTTGCGCTCGATTGCGCTTATTTGCGCCCGAAATTGCGGCCATGTTTTTTGCTCCAAATGGCTCTCGTTTGCTGATTTTGATAACGATCCTGGATATATGCTCGAATGCCCAGAAAGTACAGGGTGGTAAAAAATAGTGTAACAACTGAAGGCCCAGGTATATAATCATATAATGTATCGATATATGTCGCATATATGTACAAAATAATATATAATATGAGTGTGTACCGAAAAAATGTAGTGTTTAAAGTGCTGCTTGGGGTTGGGGTTACCCTTTGTCTTGTTGGGATGGACACTGGAGAAATAGACCCTGTTTTATTTTTGATTCACATTTGGCAAGGGGACAAAACTGCACAAGACCGGGAAATGTTCCAGGTTTGAAGTTTGGAAATGTACGTTTTGAGTCTATAAGTCTATATTTTGTTCTACCCGACTTTAGTCAAAAGGAATTGTATGCTTTGGTCGCTCAAACCCACATGCCCAGCATGGATCCTTGTTCGGATGGAGAACTGCATGTTACAAGTCGGCCCGTTTGCCCAAATGCGAGGCTGGAATGCCAGTTCCACACGTTTGCCTGGGTCTCGAACGCTGGCATCAATGAATAGCAATGCATCAGTGGTGGGAGTCGCAGACAACCTTTTTGCAAAGCTAGTGCTCCCTGATTTGTACCTGCCTTCCAAGGGTTCCCAAGGCCCCCAAAATGATAGAAGAACTCATAGAAAAATATAGAACAACTATTGTACAATGGCCTATGGCTTTGTCTGAAAATGAATGTGCCCCTCAAATCCAAATTCTGCTACCATCATATGTCATCATATGTCCGTATATTTCCCAAGTGAGAATTCCGTATGGTATAATTACCATGGTATGTCCCAGCATGTCCTAGTTTCATAGTGATTCTAATTTTTACTTGTAGATACTCGTAGTTTGAATTCGTTTCTCATCAGATTGTACCATTTAGGAATCTATGGAGTATACCGGGGTATATAATATCCATTCATATCCATATCTTAAGTATCCTAAGTCTATAGAATGAAAGAAACGTTTTTTTTCATATGAATAAAACATCAGTTTGACTGTGCTTTTAGTATCTTTTAGTGGTGGTCCAGTGGTGGTTTGAAAAGACGTTCCTTTGACTCCACCGGCTCTGCGCCTTGTCTTTGCATGCCATGGCCGACGTAGTCAGTTTGGAGCTCGTCAGCTTACAGGGGAAGAGGCGGAAATTCGATGCCACTTGGATGAAAATGGGAAGAAACTGAGTGTATACCCTCTGGTGAACTAACATAGCAATGGAAAATGGCCATTTATAGTGGATTTTCCCAAGAAAAATGGTGATTTTCCATTGCTATGTTAGTTCACCAGAGGGTAACTGTATAACTATGATTAACTGATTAATTACGATGGAACAGTGGGGGATTGAGGGGTAACACTACAATGAACACTTGAAATTTGAATAGGGAAAGTGGATCTAATAGGGAGAAAGAGATATTTGCATATGGGTTGCTGGGCAAATCATCAACAATACACAATTGGGTGTGTCTGAAAATAGTGAATGGACTTATATGGACATCCCAAGTCATGGTCCTAGAGGAAACAGATGAGGGAAAACACAGAATGACCACTTGATAGAAAGATGCACATTCTTTCACAACTGCGAATGGATCAAAACCTATTTTACCATATTGGAGGGGTATGAACACCCATTTGCAAAGATTTTACCATCTATTTTGGGTCTTAGCAGGGCACCAGGGTTTTGACACCGAAGCTGGTTGCAGCCGGTGACCGTTTAATCGCTTCCTAGGCTGGGGAGATCCGGATCAAACACCTGGATTTGCGGTTTGTCGATGATTTTCTCAGGAAAATCAACGAATCCTGATGAATCTCAAGGGAATATGTTATTATTTTTTAGTTCCAGTTCCAGATCAGGGCCAATCCAAGTTGTGTCAAGCGTTTGTGATATTTTCCAAGGCAACAGGTCTTTTGCTGAACATGTAATGTCATTTAGTGAAATCTTCAAAAGGGCTAGAGTGTATGGTGCAGGAATCAATCATCGTCTGTTTGCGCAGATGGATTCAGATGCTGTTCTTATATGTGGGCCTGCAAAGTTGGATGGTTGATTTTTTGATGTGGACATGTGGGTATCTCTGAAAATGGAGTATATAATGGTATATAATGGTATATAATTATATAATGGTATATAATGGTATATAATTATACAATGGTATATAATGGTATATAATGGTATATAGTGGTATATAATGGTATATAATGGTATATAATGGTATATAATGGTATATAATGGTATATAATGGTTTATAATAGTATATAATGGTATATAATGGTATATAATGGTATATAATGGTTATGTTTACTATATATATGTATAGATATATAATGATATATACATATATATATATATGTATATATATATATATATGTGTATAGATATATACCAAAAAATCAATTTCAGTCAAAAAAATGCTGATGAAGCATCATTTTGTGTTTCATCCCTATATGTTCAGAGTTAAACCCCAAAACTGGGTGCTCCTAAGCTATTCGATGGATAAAGCCAGCATTTCGTTTTGGAGTGTCCCCGCCCTGGAAAAGTGACCTCTTTTGACGGATGAGTAATAATCCTGGCATCAAAGATGTTGACTGATGACTAATAATAGTCCTTCCAACCCGCAAATCTTTGTGGTTTCCAATGTATTGAAACCATTCCGCCAAAAGTAGATGGGTCCGGCTCTGGCGAGGTCGCTGTTTCCATGACTGGCCGCCGGCTGCGGCAGATGCTCAGCGCCGAGTTGCCTTCCAAGCCCGGGTCACGCATCTCGCTGCAGCATGGATCGTCGTCACTGAGCTTGGACCAGACCCTCAGGCAGCAAGGAATCATTGGAGAAGGCGTCACCTTGTCCTATGTCTACGTTCCTGCGGATCTGCTGGCGGCCTGGAAGTATTTGCAAGGAGAACCGGCGCAGGATGAGGAGTTCTCTCTGCATGGGCTAACACGAATTGAGGGATGGATCCTGTGCCGACTTCTACATCTGCCAAGCAGCCTTCAACACCTGAAATTGGATGAATTCAATGAAAGCCTTGTGGGAGTCAACTTTCCAAGTGGCATCAAAACCATCATTTTCAGCTGTAAATTCAATCGGAGCTTGGATGGTGTGACTCTGCCAGCAGCTCTGCAAACCTTGGATTTTGGGGATGACTTTGACCAAAGCTTAGATGGAGTGACCCTGCCAGCAGCTCTGAAAAACTTGATCTTTGGAGACCGGTTCAACCAAAGCTTAGAGGGTGTGACCCTGCCAGTGGGTCTGCAAACCTTGACTTTTGGGTTTCAGTTTGACCAAAGCTTGGATGGTGTGACTTTGCCAACAGGTCTGCAAACCTTAACTTTTGACGGCGGATTCAACCACAGTTTGGATGGTGTGACTCTGCCACCAGGTTTGCAAACCTTGGCTTTTGGAGTTTACTTTGACCAAAGCTTGGAAGGTGTGACTCTGCCAGCAGGTTTGAAAAGCTTGATCTTGGGAGACCGGTTCAACCGAAGCTTGGATGGGGTGACTTTGCCAGCAGGTCTGCAAACCTTGGCTTTTGGAGATCATTTTGACCAGAGCTTAGATGGAGTCAATCTACCATAAGGGTTGAAAACCTTGACTTTTGGAGACTGGTTCAACCAAAGCTTGGAAGGGGTGATTTTTCCAGCAGGTCTGCAAAATTGGACTTGTGGGGGTTGTTTGGGCAAAAGCTTGAATGGCTTGACTCTACAAGGTCTGCAAACCTTGACTTTTGGAGATCACTTTGACCAACGCTTGGATGGAGTGAATCTGCCAGTAGGTTTGCAAAGCTTGATCTTTGGAGTCCGGTTCAACCAAAGCTTGGAGGGTGTGACTCTGCCAGTGGGTCTGCAAAGCTTGATCTTTGGAGTCCGGTTCAACCAAAGCTTGGAGGGTGTGACTCTGCCAGTGGGTCTGCAAAGCTTGACCTTTGGAGATCACTTTGACCAAAGCTTGGATGGTGTGACTCTGCCAGCAGGTCTCCGAACCTTGACTTTTGGATATCGCTTTAACCAAAGCTTGGATGGAGTGACTCTGCCACGCAGTCTGCAAAGATTGACTTTTGGAGATTTCTTTAACCAAAGCTTGGACGGAGTGAATCTGCCAGCAGGTCTGCAGAGCTTGATCTTTGGAGACCAGTTCAACCGAAGCTTGGATGGCGTGACTCTGCCAGCCAGTCTGCAGACTTTGACTTTCGGAGATGACTTTGAAGAAAGCTTGGATGGCGCGACTCTGCCAGCAGGTCTGCAGACCTTGACTTTTGGAAATGCCTTCAGTGGAAGCTTGCAAGGCGTGAGTCAGCCGGCAGGTCTGCAAAGATTGACTTTGGGTGATTGCTTTGACGAGAGCTTGAGTGTTGTCACGTTGCCGACTGGTTTGCAGGAATTTTCTTGTTACGGTGTCACGGTGGCTTGTTTTTAAGCAGCCGCATTTGATCCACAGACCGAACACTATAGGTGTTCAAAGTGCTGGTTGGGGGTTGGTGTTGTGATGAAATGTGTGTTTTGAGTTTAATTGTTTAATACTCTTACATTCGCATGGAGGTTCATAATTCGTTTTGTAGCGGACACAAGGCAACTCAACTTCAACCGAGAGGAGTTGGCAAGGGGCGCCCTTCTAGGGAAGTCTGGTATGGCCATGCTTGGGGCACAGAAGGCTTCCGCAAAATCTTGAAAGGTTTAGGTTTAGATTTAGATCAACGGCATCCAATTGATATCATCCTCCAGGGGTTACTGATTACTGTAACGTTCAGACATGGTGAAACCATGTGAAACCCATCTGAAAACCAACAAAGTGGAAATGATCGTGGCATATCGTGGCTGACCGGCTGAGATTCCACGAAAACATCAAGAGTTTATGGAACAGACTCTGCAGGGACATCCCAAGGCGGCGGCTTTTGGATCTAGAAATTGCACGCTGAGAATGTCAGAGAGAATGAAATGGAAGAAAGCCGCTATACATTGATTATGATGATAGCTACCTCACAACGACCCAATATTTTCATGGTGAAGCACTAAATATCTCCCACGTGCCGTTGATTTCAGAATTGTGAAGTGCGGCAATCCGCCCACTTGCATTAGCGCATCATTTTGTTGAAACCAGTACCCCAGCTGCCTGAGATGCTAATCCATGCTAATCCTCAACTCATCGGCAATCCGAAAATGTCTGTCCTCCAGAAAAGTTGGGTTCATGATCCGCAAGAAACGTTGAGCATACTTATACTGTATACTGTATATACTTATTGTTGGTTTCACGCATTTTTTATTTTCCATAATATATGGAATAATCCCTCCCATTGACTAATATTTTTCAAGATGGTTAAAACATGTTAAAACCACCAAGCAGTATAGATATGCTATGATATGCGAATCTAAGTAACTTACGAAGGGAAGCGGCCGTCAAACCAGCCATGAGCTGGCCATCATTTGGCAGGAGTTGGACTTCTTTGTCCGTGGACTGGCGTAAGGGGCTCTCAGATTGAAGCAAAAAGTGGGAAGGAAATTCATCACCTACCGGGGTAACAAATTATCATATATATAATTAATAGTTTATGTGTTGTAATTACTGTGTTGTCATGAAGTGCCGGTTTATATAAGTGGTTTCGCATAGTTAAATCACATTTGATTGTTGTCGTATGTTGTCGTTAATCCATGTTAAACCTAGACACCTCCAATCGTTGTACGTTGTTTTTGCTTGCTTACATCTCCATGTTTCGTATGACTCAATACGGATTGTCTTGGTTAAACCCTAATTTTGAAGGTCTTTTCCCAAAGTTTGGGAGAGATAGGTAAGTCAAAGATCTTCCATACATCTGGTCAAAACATGACAAAAACATTTCATCATACTCAAATTATATCCCCTTCATATCCCAAGTGTGATCGCAAAGATCCCTGTTTTTGTATTTTTTGTTGGTTACCCTATGGTTACTGGTTATTTCATATAGCTATTGAGAACGGCCCATCGAAATAGATGGCTCAAATCATGATTTAGACCTAAGAAGTGGTGGTTTTCCAGTTCGCTGATGTTGATGTTTTTTTCTGACCGTGAAATAACATCAAATAAGCACAGGGTATATCCGGGTATATCCCATTATATAAGTTGATTATAATCCCGCGATTTATGGATCTGATATAAATCAGAGTTTGATAATCAACTTATATAATGGGATATACCCTGGATAAATCATGGATCTGATATAAACTTGATATAAATCATGGATCATGGATCCAACTTATATATTAAATCAGGGATAAATCTCCAGAGCATGGATCATGAAATCCCATTGACGAATTCCATGATTTTTCAAGGTGGGCACAGCCAGCACCACCAAGCACATATGCGAACTGGAAAATCACCATGTTTAATAGGTAAACCATCTATAAATTGGCCATTTTCCATGGTTATGTCGCAAATTACCAGAGGGTCACCCAGCTCCATGCTGGCCTTCGTTAGGTGTGGTCCCCACGCCAAGACATATCTCCCGCAGCTCGTTGAGAGGGACTGACAAACGCTTTGCGCCGGGAACGGAGGATTTCTGATTTGGGGATAAAATCTTTACTTAATTCAATATTCATGTAAGGGCCAAGATAGTAAACCATGCCCCTTTGTCAACCATAGCAGGAGGCGTTATAAGTCATCCCAAGTAATTTTTAGGAGTAAACACAACAAAACTCGTACACCACAAATTGTGAATTATCGAGAGATGGGGCCTGGATCCAAAATCCAATATATAAATTCCAATTGTTGTGGGTAGCTTGGCATATCCGCATCCCCACCAGGACTGACCGTTTGGGTCTGCATCGCAGTTACTGGTCAGTGGCGAATTTCAAGTTCAACCACTCTTTACTTGTTTTATACACACCGATTACCTCAATGTTCCAAAGCCTAGTTACTAGTTGCTCGTACATACAGGAAATCATTCACTTACGAATTGCGCATCCAAGCGGGGATATTTGAGTGAAGAAACAACCAGAGATGAGTCCGAAATTAGGAATCTGAATCTTATGTTCATATCCTAGATTGCTCTACCTCCAGATGGGATATCGGGTCTTTCCATATGGTAAAATGCGTAATGATGTCTAATTTGCATCCATGTTTGAGAAAATCTTACATTGTATATCTCGGGTATACCCTCTGGTAAACTAACATGGCTGTGGTATAGATGACCCATTTATAGTTGACCTACCTAAAATGGTAATTTTCCATAGCCAACTGTTAGTTTACCAGAGGGTATTTGAAATGCATAGAAAGTAAAGATTCACATCCCAGATTTGGGGTGAAAGAATGTTAAACATGGGTCCAGTAATGGGGTTTGCAAAAGACCAATGTGGCGAGATGTGTTTGAAGAAGTGGAAGTAGATGGATATGATATAGGGGTTTCCATAAATGGGAGTACCCCTAAACCATCCATTTTAATAGATTGGGGTACCCCCCATTGGTTAACCAAGTTCTGTGAAACCATCAGTTCCAAATTTCAGTTGGCTCATCCTGGTTTGTTGCAGATGTATGGGTGAACGTTGAAGACATCACGCCGCGACGTCACTGGACTGGTGGTCAATAAGGGATAAGGGTCACTATCCCAAAATATCATATTTCAGATTGATGAATTCTGGAACATATTATACAGAACTATACCGGGTTGGTGGTTTGGAAGCCGTGGTGGCCCAATTCCCCTACCAGTCTGGTACGGCTGTGCCAGCAGAGCGAGGGTCGGTTCGACTGTTCACCCCTTTTGCAATGGCTGTTGATTTCCCTCCTTCATTTGCCAGCTGTGTTGAGGGATCTCGTTTGACGTTGGTGGCAAAACTGGATGTTTGGGACATGGATCATGATGCTCATCGCTTGACTTCTATGCATGAAGGTATTCCATTTTTTCTGACTGGCTTGTTGGATGGTGATGGACATTCGTATACCCTGGTCAATGCTGAGTTCCGTAGGCAGTTTCCAGTTCCATGGATTGTGATCGATGAAGCCTCTCATGTTTTTCGGCATAATCAACCCTCATGGGATTCCCTGCACCAAGTGGTTGAGCTTTGCGCTGGATTTGGGGGCATGCATCAGGGTATGGCTGCGTTGGGATTTAGTCCAGTGGTAGCCGTAGATGCCAATGATCGCATGATGAAACTGTATGGAGATCAGTGTGATGCTATGCAGGTGATTGGGGATGTGACGCAGCTTTCCACCTTGATTCAATTGTGGCCAGTTTCAAAGGGAGCTGCTACATTGGCAGCGGGTTTTGCATGTCAGCCATTTTCGCTTTTGGGTGATAGGCGAGGAGGCTCTGATCCCAGATCCTCATGCCTGACAGG